AATGCAGCAGTACTATTTTTAAAAGAAAAATGAGATGACATATCTTACCATCCATGAACCAACTGCCATCAGAGGATATGTAGGCTTTATTAATGATAAGGTTAAGATCAGTAAGGATTTGTACAACTTCAAGAAGGATTCCATGTTTGTTTGCACTGTCAACCTGCATCACAAAATGGAATAAGTACCTTAAAGAAACCATAAAAAGTGGTAGATGGTCAAAGAGTGCAAAAAGAAAAGAAAGAAAATCGGAAGGTCATACCCGTATCACAGTTGCATTCTTGCAGGCTTCATTATCAATCACAACCCTAACAAGGATGGTAAGTAAATATTACTACTTCAGGTTTCTATTTACTCTATTGAAAGTAGAAAAAAGAATATATTTTTTTGCTTACCTGGGTGGATTCATTCTTCTAATGAATTTCTCATATTCATCATCCATGGCATGGGAAAAGCTCATGTTCATCTCTAAAAAGAAAATAAGAAGAAAAAAAAGAATCAACCAATGACAGAAACCAAGGATAGTACTCAAAATACCAGCGCCCAATCAGAAACCCAAAAAAAAACAGGAAAAGCATATGCAAAACCTTAAAAGGACTTGTTTTTTGGTGAAAGGCCTAAAAGGGAAGTCTTGAAAACATGTATGAAGAGAAAGAGGGTAAGGTGAGAGAGACAGAACGGAGGGTGTGAAAATATTCAGGAGAGAAATGAAAATAGAGCAATTAAGAAGAGCTCAAAAGAAACAGAATATTGACAATACCAAGCCAAAAAAACGCCAATCAAAGACTTGAAAAAGTCATTAAACAGATACAACGGAAACGGCGAAACCCCATCACCCCCCACCGCCCCCACAAAAAAAAAAGATAGTTCTCTGTTTCCATGTGAGTTTGGTCAGTGGGGCTAAAAACTCTGGAGCACTACACATTTACCCCTTGTAAAGAAGAAGAAGAAGGGAAAAAAAAACCATTCCCAACAAATCAAAGCCATTGAAAACCTTGAAAAAGAAAAACCAGTAATCGGAAATCAAGCACAGATACTGTAGCATAAGATTCTGGCTGTAAAAACTTTGAAAATTTCCAGCGACACAAAAACAAAACGTAACTAACAGAACCCACACTCTCAAAAACAGAAAAAACAGAGAAGATAGAAGCAAAAAAGCGCCTACCCATTATTGCTTTTTTTGAGAAATTTGTGATCTGGGGTAATCAAAAGTTGCTCTCTTTCTCTGATTCTCTCCTAACAAAGAAGGCTTTTCTTTCCTTCTATTTTGCAATAGAATGAATGATAGTAAAGCAGAACAAATGCAGAACTCTATTTATATACCCAAAAAAGAATCTTAGACTCCCCTGAATCCCCCCCACTCTCATTAAGGTAACCAAATAATTGAAATATCCCGAAAAATTACAAACTTTCTTTAATACAAATAAAAATATTATTTCTTCTTGAATCAGAATCAGACACACCCCGACACGATACTCCAAAAACCTGCAACTTCTGAAACTACCCCCTTGACACTCTCTCTCTCTCTCTCTCTCTCTCTCTCTCTCTCTCTTTTCCTTTTCTTCTTTGTTTATTTTTTTTTCTTTTTCCTCTCTAAATTTTGTACTGGGTAAAGAAATTTCTCTAATATGGGGAGAGAGAAAACAAAGGAAGGCGTAATTTAGCGAAGGGTCACCGCGGCGTACTTTAGAGGATGGAGGGTAGGGACGGTGCTAAGGTGCACCTGTTTAAGACGGAGTTAATGAAACAATTAACCCACGTGTTTAATCGACGGGCGGTGATCTTCCAAGGTTTGTGGAGTGAACCGCGGTTGTGTTAATTAGCTGTCTTGTTAGGATTGGTTGGTTTAGGTTATGAGGTCGTCCTAAACTCCCCTAGCGCCCCCCCGCTCCGTACACCTTGGATTTAGGGCCTAAAAATCTATCCACCAAATCCATTTTCTTTTTTTTTTAATTTGATAAATTATTATTACATTAAATTTTTACTTAATTATTTTATTTTTATCATATAGAAATTTAAAAAATAATAATAATTAAATATATTTTAAAATTATAAAAAAATTTAAATAAATTTTTATTCTTTTATTACTTTCAATCAAATTCGTATACTTTTTATTTTGAATTAAATAAGTTTTTATAATTAATTATTATTAATAAAAATATAACTTATTATTTTATATCTATATAATATTAACATAACGTTGATGTATAAGATAAAAAATGTCACATAATCATTTTATCATATCAAATTAATATGTTACGTCAGTATTATTTGTGATATGTCAACATGTTATATTATCATCAAATATAATATGTTAATATATTATATCAACACCACAAGATATAGAATGAAAAATAACATTTTGATTAAGTCAATCATTAATCATAAAAGCTTATTTTACTCAAAATAAAAATATAATAACTTATTTGACTTAAAGTAAAAATATAAAGATTTAATTGAACGTAATAAAAGTATAAAGACTTATTTAATTTTTTAAAATAATTTAAGAGTTTTTTCGAATATTATGCTTTAAAAAAATTAGTTTATGACATGTCGTCTAATATTACGTCTGTAAAAAAATGTATTCATTAGCTTATGTCCCCTAGCTTAATTATGGCTTAAGTAAAGGTATAATACTCACATAAGTCCATAAACTAGTCAAGAACATCATTCAAGTAAATCTTTATTATTTTATTACGTTCAATCAAATTCTTATACTTTTATTTTATGTCAAATAAACCTTTATAATTGATAATTGATTAATTGATATTAATCAAAATATCATTCATCTTTTTACATCCACATGACACTGACATAATATTAATGTGGATGGTGAAATATACTACATGGTTATATTATCATGCTAAATTAACATGTCACACTATCATCAATTATGGTATATTATGTTAATATGTTATATTAGTGTCACGCGATATAAAATGATAAATAACATTTCGACTAAATCAATTTTTAGCTATAAAAGTTTATTTGACTCAAAACAAAATTATAAAGGTTTATTTAACTTAAATTAAAAATACAAAGACTCAATTGAACTTAATAATAATATAAAAATTTATTTAATTTTTTTTGAATAATTTAAAATTTTTTAAATATTATATCATAAGTAAGTAATAAAAAAATATCTCAAGGTCTAAGTTGGGATAAATTTGCCCTCTAAAATTTAAAATTTGACATTTAACTATTCTATATCTTTTTCGTTAGAATTTTCTTTACATTGTGAAGAATAAAATACCAGAATAGTCCTTATTTCATTAAATTAACATTAATAATACAATTAATCACTTTTTTAACCTCAAAAGACAAAATTATTCTACCTTATATCACAAGATAATCTTTTATAATTTATCCTTATGACTTTGTTTTTAGATCGACATGATAATTTCATATAACACACTGTATTTTAATTTATTAATTTTAATTAATCCACACAGTAAAGATAATGAAAACATGTGGACTAAATTGTTGAGTAGTTTCTTTTTTTTTTCTTTTATTAAATAGAAAAGAAGATGCATTGTTGATAGGATCATAATCATCATCATCATTCATTCCTTAACTAAACAATTATTGGGTTTTAACTATATTAATTTATTATTATCTTTGCAGTTGAGCTTAAAATGTGGTCTTTGACAAAATCATTAACTAAAAGAACTTCTTAGCTTTTTATCTAAATCATTACCTAGTTGGCTCTTTTTTTTTTTCATTTTTGAGTATTTTTTTTTTATTTATATGCTTGACATCTATGATTTATAATTGAATATTGTATATATGAATAATAATAATAATAATAATAATAATAATAATAATAATAAATGTATTTAAAATATACTAAATAAAAAAAAAGTAATGGAGAGGATCTCGTCTGCATTGAGAATATAGTGCTACAAAACCTTTCAAAAAAAAATATAGTACTACCAAAGGTTTAACTTTTAGGATTTTATTTATACTGATTTTTTTTTGTTTTAGGTATATATATTTAAGAAATTCGAAAATAGAGAAGAGATTTGTAGTTTAATTATCAATTCTTCAAAAAAAAAACCATTAGATAAAAAATGAATTTGTGTTAATTTTATTTATTCCAACTTTATTTCACCAACTTAGCTAGTAGTTCAATATCAAACTCAAATAACAAATCAAGTTCAAGAAGTCTAGCACTTTTCTTCAATTATTGCATTTATACAACAATCATACAATATGTACTTATAATAAAATTTTTTGAGAAAAAAATGTATAAATGTATAATTTAATTGAATCGAGTTGAATTTAAATCTATCAATCAATAATTTTTGTAGATTGAATTTATGTATAAAAAATGAAACTCAATAGAACTTCATTGGTTTCATCGGTAATACTATTCATTATTGATGGATTTTTTATAATTTTTCAATGAAATATTTCAAAATTTGAACAAATGCTCCAATATATTTGACATTATAATATCAGAATAATGTCAATTTACCCATATATATATATATATATATAGTTAAACAAAACGATATGAAAACAATAAAGGCAAATTATAGGGCAACACATCATGTTCCCTTACCCCGAAAGCTCAAAACAAATCGAGACCATGTGCACGAAAATCAGCCGCCAAAGTTTTAAATACAGCCTTTTTGGTGGGATATGAATGCCACCACATGGTTAGGCAAAGCCATGCTGCATTGCCCTTGCCTCTGACCTCTCTACCTCCATAATTAATATTTATATTTATATTTATATTTATATATACATACATGTTTGGGGCACCATCACCCCACACTCGCGTGTCTTAGGGTGTGCATGCCGGGCTCTTGTCCCTCTCCTCTCACTTGCCCACATTTGCTTCCCCTTCATCCCCTCATTTTATGGCTTCTTAATTTGATTTTTGTTTTGTTTTACCAACAATGGCCATGATTCCTTCTTAATCTGCAACTGCGCTGCAAGACAGATAGTTTGAAACCTTTGAGACTGTTCCTCTTTCATTTTTTTTTCCTTATCGTTTGTAGTTTTAAATTTGGTCATGTTTGTCCTATTAGGTGAAAGGCTCAAGGTTGGGAAAGGGTCAGGGATTTGAGAATAAAATACCAGCTATGCTTGTTGCATGGTGGTGGTGATAGAGATTCCAACTATTGTCTTTAGTCAGATATGTGTGTTGTGTTCTATCATTGTTTTCAATAACAGTTTGCTCTAATCCCTAATGACTTGATTAAACGATCTATTTGTAAGATACCAGGATTCATTTATGACTTTGTTCAGCTTCGGTAATTCTTTTGATCGATAGATGATCATGCACTTATCATTGATGCAAATGTTCAAATCGTTACTTAATGTCTTAGTTTCTCGTAGGTATTGCTCTGCTCCCCATGAATTGATGCTGGAAAAGGATGTGAAAGCAATGTAATGTTATTCCACCAAAAACCTGACCATTTATACAGCGGTTGACTTGAAAGGGGCAAACAGGGTCAGGGTGATGGTGATGGGGAGGTTGGTGGTGTTGGTGCTACATCCATTGGATGAGCACTGGTTTCAAATTAGGCAGAAATTGCGTGTGGCAGGTGCTTGCCAAGGTACACAATGAGTTTAACAATTTACCATGCGCAAGCAGCAGATCATGAGACCGGAAGAGTTAAGCAGGGATGGTGGCAGGATAGAACCAAACTCTTGGCATTTGTCTTCACGATACTCTACATTACTATGCTTTTCCAATTTTCATGGGCTTGCTTTCAGACCATGTAACCTCATTGCAAAGTACTGTCCTAATCAGCCATGTCTGAGGAAATGCACTTCGTGCATTACCTAGGTGAAAGAAAGAAAAGATTACTGGTCTTGGAAATGGCATCCCTTTTCACAATTGCCCAAAGCATTCGGTGTTAATTATCCCAGAAAGTATGATTGGCACTTAGTCTTTCTCTTATCTTAATTTCTACTAGGAGTACTATTTTTATTTCTATTTTTTTTCTCTGAAATATGCCAGCGTATTTTATTAAATGCTATGAACTTTTTTAATCAAAGGATACAAATTCACTGATACCCCATCAGTCAAATAGGGTTTATCTTACCAATTATTCATCGGAAGTTAGAACATGGAGATTTTTCTATGTACACTCTCTATTACATTAAGTAATGAAAAATGTCATAAATAAAGCATGGTATCAAGTATTAAGAAACTGATTAAATTGATCATGTCTAAGCCATCTATGCGCATAATTAGGAGGAATAAGGTCAAAGGTTTAATCCTTTTTCTTCTCTACACTTTTTCTATATATATGTATGTAAATAATTAATATACAAGTCAATTGACATATAACTTTTTAATCGGATCAAAGATGGTAATAAAAAGTTTTTAATTTTTTATTATTATATATAGATAATTTGATATATATATTCATGATATTATATAATTACCTTTTAATCATTCTTTATCTAAAACTGTAAATCAATCATTATATACATGTACGCATAAAATAAATAAAAATGTAATTATATAATTTCTCTTTGACTCTTATTATATAGATTAGGGATCAACCATGTAGATTCTGATTCTCCTTTGGTGATTCTTTTTCAATCCCTTAATTCCCTAAATGTTACCACAATCATTAGTGACAATATCAAAACACAATTCCCATCATCCCCTTATCATCAAACCCAAAATCCCTTCCAGTCCCAGCTCTCTCGAAAATCGCAGCCTTCCCTTCTTGCCCCTACCATTCAAGCTACAGAGAACCACGTGACACTCCCCAAAACCATCATCCTCCCAACCGCCTTTTTCTCCCAAAGCTAATCTTAACTAATAACTACCATTCCACCTGTCCCTTAATCCAAAGGATTACTTAATTAATAAATTTATTTATCTTAATCGAACATAATTAAAGAAAAAAAATTACGCTAAATGACATATACTACGTGACAAATTATTATATTTTCGAACTCGATATGATTAAGAAAAGGAATTAAACAGTTAACCGCAATTAACTGTTACTAATAGTTTCGGTCAAAGGTCAACGCGGAGGGGGGACTGAAACTGATATACCGACCGACCTCTTTGTTAGTATCTTTTTTTTTTAATTTATTTTTTTGTCTTTTTGGTTTTTAACCTCTTTGGGAGTAGCAAAGCTGCACGTGATATGAGGCGGACCGCAGGCCCCCGTGATCGGAAATTACATATGGATCCAGCATTGCAGTCACGCACGTAACACGTGCGTCGCTAGTGATATTCTTCTGTTTTTCTTTTTTTAAATAATAATAATAATAAAATAGTAAAGGTCTCTTGGAGCATCCAAAGGGTCGTCGCCAACTCAGCATCCACGTCGGTCGAAAGCTTAAAAGGTTAAAGCAGGTGAGTGCGATTCTAACGTAACCAAGATTGAGGTTGCCATTTCCATTCCGCAATTTAGATTTATTTATAATATTATTTTTAAAAAAAACCAAATAAAGAAAAATAGAAAGAAAGGTCAGCCTCAGTTGATATTTTTGTTATAATTATGTTTAGTTTTATAATTTTAATATAATTATAATTTTAATATTGGAGATTTTGTCCCTAATTTCCCTTGGGAGAGATGGGATGTTTGCTTGGTGTTTGTGATAAGTTGTTGCAAAATCAGGTTTCGACTTTTGACCCCCACTTTGGGGAGTGAGGGATCCTTTGTTCAAAGTCTTGGAGAAATGACACAAAGATTGGAAAAACTCCACAAGATTTTGTCCTTGCTTTTCTTTTCTTTTTGTTTCAATATTTACAAGATATGACATTTTTTTTCTTTTTTATAAATTGAATTTTTTTTTTTGCATTTCAAAAGCTTTAAATTGAAGTTCATATATAAAATGAAACAATTATTACTTTAAAAGATTTAAGTTAAAATTTTATATTTAATACACTATTAATATATAGTATTTATTGATCATCAATTAATTATAGTAACAATCTCCTGATTCTTTGACATTGATGTAATAAAAAAAATAATGTCAACATTTTAGATTTAGATTAGTGATATACTAACATTCCATAATAAAATTTATTCAAAAAAAATTTAACATTTGACTTTATAATTGATTCATACTTTATGTCGAATTCTCGGCTTTTTAAATATAAAAAATATAGGAAAAAAGAGTCAAAATTTCAAATTTATCACATTTGGTGGAGGAGGTGAGGGGTTTACAAGATGGAAAACGCGGCCGTGTATTAAATGAAACGACAAGTAGGCCACGTTCTTTGGGTACAGTATCCAGAGTTTTGGAGGCGTACGAAGGAAAGGAACAGAAGTGGTTCCACAGGGCCGAATCCCGCAGTCTCCCATGAAATATACTATAGGGACGTTGGCCCATAAGCCGTCTTTTGTAGGTATCCCCATCCCTTAGCCACAACAGAAAGAAAAAGGGGGAGAAAAAGATGGCTTGTGTCCGAGGCTGTGGGGCAAAAAGCACAAGAGTGGGTGGAGCTCAATGGCTCATTGTCCCCATCTCCACCGCTCATTTTGTTCAACGTTTTCTTGCTCAAATGAAACAAAAGTTCATTAGTTGGGCTTTATTATGGCCAAGAATTGCTCACCGTGTTATCAAGAGGGCGTTTGAGGATAAAACGTTGACTAAAATATAAGTTAGGCTTAATGTTATCAAGGTGTTTACGATGTCCACCGTCGATAACCTAATGATCAATAAATAAAGTGTAATGGTTATTAGTGTATATAATCTTTGCGATTGTATTTTATCTAAAATAAGGTTAAAAATTTATATGATGCATTTAAATTTTTAAAAATATTGTCAAAAGATAAAAAGAGTATTATTAAAAAGACTTTTAACAACATTGTTGAAAAAAAAAACTCAGAAAAATCAAATTTGCTATTGTGTGACTTCTCCTCCTGTCGAGTTTCAACTCAACTAGGTTGCATATACTACAAATAAAACATTAATTTTTTAAAAAAATTAATCAAAATATTTTGATGAAATTAATTTTATTTCATATCGAGCCAGTTTTTTTATGGAAAATTTTGTAGAAAAATTGGTTATTTTTTACATAATTTTGAACTTACACTCTAAATGTTTTATCAAAAGCCTCATTTACATAAACACCACTCAGGGTCATGAAATTTGCACGTCGTGCCGCTTTATACCAGAGAAAAGAACAACAGAGCCACGAGAAGGCACATGTGTATATAGCGATACAAACCACCAAGTCGATGGCATGCACGTACGAATAAAACATCACATCAAAGGGTTTTCATTTCGTTGTTACCTAACTTTCTCAAAGACCCTAACTAACTGTAATTACCATCTACTTAGATGTGGTCGCACGTCATCATCGCCATGATCAACATGGAAAGAAGGTTCTTCTGTCTTCCTCCCTTTCCCACCTGCCAAACCCTGGCTGAAGTCATTTGTTGGTTGGGAGGTCGGTCGCATGAGATCTATGTCTTTAATTTTCATCTTTCTAAAGGAACACCGAGTGCGGTATATAGCGATGGATTTAAGAATTTAGATTAAAGCGTAATCATATAAAACTAAAAATCTAGTCAATGATTATCGTGGTATATAGTTTATTCTAACATCAATTATTGTAGGCATAATTAGGGTTTCCAAAAGCAAGCTGTTTCGGCCTTTGAGAGGTACAACTGTTTTTTTTTTGGTGGATTTTATCACGTGTGACAATGATTATTAATGATCGGTTGGTACCATCCAAATATATATGGTTGGGATTGTTATGCTTCAACAATATTATGTAACCCTAATTAATTAACAGATTCATTATCATAAATTAATGAAGAGTAATAAAACTGGTTTTCTCTATACACAACCTAATGATGAAAGAGAACTTCTTAGACCATGATTTACACGTTCTAACACTCTAATTAATCATAATCTCTCTCATATAGTCTACCAAAGTTACAATTAATAGTGGGTGACTTGAATTTTTATGTGAATTGTCCATTAATTATACCAACATTCAATGGAAGATGGAATATCACAATTTCATCCCGTTGATCTTATTCACATACTTATCAAGACTACAAATCACGACCAATAAATGAATCAAGCTCACATTAGTGTATTATGAGCTTACACTAAGTGTTAGCACGTGGTGATACTAAACGTACATCTTAAGATCAAGCATCACATGTCCAATAATTTTTTGAATCCAAATTACTAAAAATTAATGATTTTGAATCATTCCTTTCTCTCTCTTTTTTTTGTTCCTTGTAAGGACTTGATCTTTATGATACTTATCAATTACATTCATATATATATATATATATATATATATATATATATATATATATATATAGATGAATGAACAACTGAGGTATATCATCACCATGCATATTGCATGTTCCGGCAGCTGGGGAGGGGAGCATCTAGCTCCATACTGTTTTCGTATCTTAAAAAACCTAGTGAGGATGAACTATAAATTATCTGGGTGACAAAGCCCATCAAAGATGTAACAGGAGTCACTTTCTTGAAGCACAAAGCCTGACCCTAAGCCCACTAACATTCTCACAACTTTAGCGGGACTTTGCAACCAAGGTGACTTTTAGCTTATACATACCTTCAAAGTCCCAAATTGAAGGCCAAATGTGAACTCTCTTTAAGGCTGAATTCTCACAAGGGCTTTCTTACCAGCAGCCCAGAGGCCTTGTATAATTCATTATATATATATATAAAATAAAGGAAATACAAATAAGTTGTCTTTTATTTAAAATTGATTTAATAATTCATGCCATTTTGAGAGAGAATGACAATGGGGCATGAACAAAGAAAAGGCAGATTATAGTAGATAGCTAGCCTAAAATGACAACCCTGAATCACGCCACTTCTCTTCTGTAATCTCATCTAATTTCAATAGCATCTCCGGCGTGAGATGATTCTTCCAATCTCCAACCTCACTACGCCGGAAAAATACATTGGTGTCATGTGGGGACGATGGTTTCCCACCTTTATTCACTCCTAATTGCTTAGAGCATCGAAACTACACAATCTCAGTATATCATCCACCATACCTCTGCTTTCTTCTTCCAGGGAAAGTGGGCACGCTGTGAACTCAGCGATTCTCCTTAAATGGATTTCGGGATGCTCTTTCATTTCCTCATACTGCAAAAACGGTAACCTTTGAGGGTTTTCCAGGCTCTCTTTCCAATTGCCTAAAGCATGTTCCCAAAAGGGTCCGTAAACATTCACTCCTCTGCAGTCTGCAGAACTTGTCAAAGGTCTCTTCGAGTGGATTGGTGCCCATTTCCTTGGTTCTTACCTTGTTAACGAACTGCCAAAGGGACACAAAATTATCCTTGGGGTTCCTACGCAGATACACGAGCTTGCAAGCTGAGTTCTTCAGACTCTGGCAGTGACACAAACGGTAAATGAGTTGCAATTAGCCTCGGAGAAGTGCTGGTGGTGGTGGAGGTATCGTCGGCCTAGTAATTGATGCGTGGTTCAAGCTCCAAATCGAGGACAAGAGCATGAGGACTGTTCGTAACCTAAGGGTGATTTATAGGGTCAGGATATTTGGCAAACACAATCGCCTTTAACCAAGTCGTGCCAGACTTGGGAGTAGTGGCAAGGAAGTTGTCACTATCTTGAGCTTGAAAGTTCCTTTGGCAAGTGAGAATCGTGGGCAAAGTCTTGCTTGAGTGCCAGAAACCTTGAAATTGATAGAGAGGATGTCCAACCCAACCTTCTTCGGTGGGCAGTGACGATATTAACTGCTTGCATTCTTCAGTGAGTTCCTCATCTTGCAGGTACTTGGGCAGAGAAAGACCAGTTTGAGGTGTTTGCATGGCAGTGAGAGCTTGAGAATCAGAAGGTTATTGACTATAATGATTCTAGGCAAGAAGATTTTCAAGACTATAGTATAATTAAAAATATGGTTTGTAGAACAACTTTTCAATAAAATACTGGCATTCTCTAGAAGCTGTTTTCTTGTCTACATGTACACATAAAGGGGTAAACTCTTTAGCATATGTATTAAATAAAATAATGCATGTGTTATATTTTTATTAAATTTTTTCATCCTCGTTGTTACTAATAAAGGAGCTGGTGTACCTATGCTTTGTCTTTGATTCTTTAAGAGTTTTACTTTAAATAAAGGAGAAATTATACCTATATATGTTTTGTCTTTGATTCTTAAGAGTACTACTCTAAATGAAGGAGCAGGTGTATCTATGTTTTGTCTTTGATTCTTCCAGCGCTTTGGCAAATACTTTCTTTGTAGTTAATAAGTCTAGGCTTCAATTTTGGATCAAAACAAAGTGTGATGTATCTTTCAAATATGGTTTATTTGAAATCAACTTTAATAAGAAGACATGGGTGAAATTCTGAAATTCCGACCAAAGACCATTTACTATGCAAACTTAAAAAAATTTAGCTAATTCCATGTGTACGTACCCAAAATAAATAAATAAATAAATAAAACAGTTTGAGACCTAAAGGTTTCACGGTCTTCTTTGTCATTTGTCATTGGCCATCGCATAGGTTACATGAGGACTTGAAATAGACGATTTCAGTAGATTTTTACTAGGTTTTTCAAAGAACATATGGCCAATGATCCACTCATACTTGAGCACACAGAAAAACTTCAACGACAACTATTAGAATAATCAAACCACAGAGTTCTTTTGCACTGACATTTGAGCGAATAAACACATGTTTTTGTCATTAAAGAAATGTTGCACAAAGGATAATGGAGGTCAATTTTGATGAACTGACCCTAGACATTATTGAAAAGCCAGGTACTTCAGATTAAAAAAGAGACAATCAGGCGAGCTAGGTGGGAGACCTAAAAGATTAACCCAGAGTCATGCAACTTGTCTTGAGTAATTTGGTCTAGCTTTTCCATCATCTGAGGGGTCAAATGATTCTTAGCATCTCCAACCTCACCTCGCCTGAAAAATGCCTTGTACTCCTCGCCGGAGGCTAACTTTCCAGTTTTGTTCACCTCCATATTGCTCAAACTATCAAAGCTACATAGCTTCAGTATCTCATCCACCACGCCATTCGTCTCTTCTTGCGAGGAAAATGGGCATCCCAGGAACTGAGCCAGTCTCACCAACTGAACTTTCGGCTGCTCTTTTATTTCCTCATACTTCAAGAACAAGACCCTTTCAGGCTTTTTCAAGCTTTCTTTCCAATACTCCAAAACATGGTCCCAAAAGGGTCCGTACAGGCACACGCCTCTGCAGAACTTATCGAAGGTATCTTCTAGGGAATTTTCACCCATATCCTTGGTTCTCAGCTTGTTCGTGAAGTGCCAAAGTGATACGAAAGTATCCTTTGGATTCCTACACAAATACACAAGCTTGCAAGCCGAGTTCTTAACCGAGTCTGGCAATGACCCAAGGGGCAAGTGAGTTCCAAATAGCCTTGGAGAAGTAAATGTTGTAAAGTCAGCAACCCGGTTATCAATGTAGAGCTTAAGCTCCAAAAACGGCACAAGGACGTGAGGGTTCTCTGCCAGTAAAGGGTGTTCAACTTCAGGGTTAGGATATTGGACTCTATTCATCAAGGCAAAAACAATGGCCTTCAACCAGGTTGTTCCTGATTTGGGGGTGGTAACAAGAAGGATATCAGTATCCTGAGCTTGAAATTGGTTTTGGCAAGTCAGGACCGCTAGTAACTGACGGGTAGTGTGCCAAAAACCTTGATATTGATGGAGGTGATTTGCAACCCAACCTTTCTCAGTTGGTAGTGATGCTATAAGCTGCCTGTGTTCTTGGGTTAGAACTTCTTCTTGCAGGTATTTGGGAAGAGAAACAGAAGGTAGATCAGTGGGTAATGGACAAGATTCAAGGTTAAGTACAGAGGGCATGGTTATTGCTTCACTGGCTTGAGGGTAGCAATCCTTTTCAGTTGGTGATAAGGATGCTAGCTGCCTGAATTGTTGCTGGCGGCCCTCCTCTTCAACGTATTTTGGAAGAGAAACAGGAGGCAGATCAGTAGGCAGTGGACAAGTTTCAGTGATAGGCATGGTTTCTTGCCCAAATCAGCTAAGTTGGCGACTCGCTAGTGTTGGGCAGATACTTATAGAAAGGTTTTCTCCACTGTGAGCATCGGACAAAACTTTGAAACAGTGCTCTTTTAATAACAAAAGAAACCACGTGGGAATAATTAAAGTGGTGATTAAAGCGAGTGGGGGACTAGGCCACAAATTTTACTTTTTTAGGGGTAATGCATTATATATATACACAAAGGCAAGACTCAATGAGTCTCTACGTACATATCAGGTTGTGAATTCTATAACTTTATAGAAAAAATTGTGAGTGATAATTTTTTTATAAGTTTAATTCAAAAATATTATTTATTATAATTTTAATTATTTTTAGTTAATTTTTGACATGATTTGCTAATGATACCTTTTAAACAATTTCAAATAAATTAAAATAGTTTCGGTTTTCTCTATCTCGAGATCTAAACAAAAATTTTAAAATTAAATTTGGATTTTTTTTTCTTGTCAAATACTGTTTATTTCGTCATCCAACTCTTTTTTATTATTTCAAAAAGTAAAGATGACATCAAGATATATGTTTTAGGTTTTTAGATTTATTAGTTAGTATTCATAAAATCCCAAAGTTAAGCCATTGAAATTGATTGCACCTTTCTGTAAATTTGAACATTGTAAGACTTTGGTATCTTAAAACTAATTGCAAGTAAACAAATTAAATAGTTATTAGGTATAACATTATTCATTTTTTAATATTATGTTATTGAGTTTTAGGTATTGTGAAACTGATTTTTAGACATTGTGTGACTGATTTTTAGATATTACATGAATAAGTTGTAGGTAATGCGTGATTGATTTTTAAGTCATGCCTAAGAACTAATCACACAATGCATATCAATCAGTCACATAATGCTATATCAATCAGTCACGTAATATTTAAAAATTAGTCACATAATACCTAAAAACAAGTTATACAATGTTTAAAAACAATCAAAACTACTGAATTTTATTTAACAATATAAGTAACTTTAAATAACACACTATATTCCATTTAACAATATAATCAACTAATATGACTATTTAGCGAAAAATGTTCAAAATACTCAAAAGTTTTTCTTCATGTATCAAAAACTATTCTAAAATGCTTAAAATATTCAAAATGGTCAACCACTTCAAAATGTTCCAAATGCTTAAAGATTTTTCTTTTTGGTAAGGAATATTTTATAATTAAATAATCTGACGAGAAAAATTCAAATAATATGACTCAGTTTCAGGCACAGACCTAAACAGATGGGTCGATTTCATTAAAAGTAATTTTATCCAAAATTAATGTTAAAATTATAAAGAGCACTGTTTTTAAAAACACTTTATTAATTTATAAGTGGTATTTGGAAAAGAACCCTTCTATATACTATTTCTAAATCAAATATTGATATTAATTACTTGCTGCACCATATCTTGCTAATTGAGTCAAGATAACTAATTTTATAGGTACTCGATCAAGTCTTGTTTCTCACAGATTTTTTGGTTTTTGAATCCTTGGCCCCTATACTATTTTGTTGATGCCTACTGGCAGATACATCTTGCTCCGCTTGTGATTGCTTGATGACCCCTGGTTGCTTGCTGGTATTGGTACTCTTTTATTAGCCTGGCTCCAACATGCTCGGCCTTTCCTATCGTGTGATGTCGACTGGAGCCCTTCACCTTTGCTTTGTTTTGTGATTGCTTGATGCTTGCCACCATTTGTACTTTGTTTTGCTTGCACTAGGTTGTCTTATTTTTCAGCTGTTTGTACTCCTGCTTTCGATGCCAGCCCTCTGCTCCTCTACTAGGTGGTTTCCGAATGTCCACTTACTGGTTCCAGACCATTGCTTGGATTAGATCATCGATTCCCTGCCTTACTAATGTACCCTGTTAAGGTATCCTGTTAAGGATGACTGGTCTTTGAGCAGTGTTGCTCCTACTCCGCCCCTCTCATAGCTGAACTCTTTTGTACATTCTATGATATATCACCTTATTAATAAATAAATTTAAAAATTAAAAATACTTAAAAATAAATATTTATAATTTTAAAAATATTTCTTTTAAAATTTTTTTTGAGCTTTTATTTTACAATTTTATGAGACGTATTTTGTGAATAAATCATCAATATAAATATTAGGATTAATATTTGATGTAAGGACTGTGTATAGTTTCTATGCTTTGTCAAGCCATCAGATCTTGACACCTAATTATTGAGATAAAAAGGATAAGATCTACCTTCTATTTTCTTCAAAATAATAAATTCCAAAAGGACATCAAAATTTAATATAAACTTTTTTATTTTTTTCTAAATAATAAGTCGCTGTGACCTAAAACCTCATAAATGAAGTGACAGGATTTGATGACCTGATAATATATAAACGTTATGCACAAGTGCATCAAATATTTTCTCTAAATATTATAATTCTAACATTGCATCAAACATAAATCATTTTTAATATTTGTGTCTTAACTCGAGAGTCAAGAGTTATTAAATTGGAACAATTTTCAACTCGAGATTTTTGTATATCAAATAAAAAGGAAAAAAAGTTAAGAAATAAGAAGTTTTCACAAATTTTTCACATTTCTTTGATAAATCATAAATGGGACAACATAACTTTATGATAAATCATACCCATTTTTGAGTTAGCCATTTTAATATACGAGCTTGTTTTTATTATAAAAGTACATGCCTACATTAATCTATGCCAAATAAGCAATAATCTCTCATAAACTTTTAATTTTTTCCAATAATGATAAACGTACCTACATTAATCTATGTCACACTATAAATTGTTTACTATCACATAAATATGAGGAAGCTTAAAGAGTAAAAGGAAATCCAAATCCAACCATATCACCCTTAGGATGGTAATTACCAATCAAATTACCCCTTAATTGTTGCAAACAAACATCAATTGATAAAAGAGGATTGTTAAAGATAGTTGCATCATTTTTCCTCTTTTTCTTTGTAACTTTTATGTGTGATTAAAGGAAAAAAAATTCCAAACAATGGCTAAAGGCACTTTATTCTTACTTAACTTTATACAATATTAATGATTATTTTAAGTAAAAATAAAACTTGGGGTTTATATATATATATATATATATATATATATATATCTCTCATGGTCCTCAAAGTTGAGTAATATGCCCATAAAAATGTGCAAATAAATTAACTACATCTAAAGCACAACGATTAAATTTAACATAATTTAATTAGATACGTTATAAAAATATGATGCGATATATGATACCAAATACCCCCGAAGAGAATATAAGGAGAGAAAAAGGAGCCACTTTACAGCTTGGGTCTTTCTGCTTTGAAGATGCACCGAGGAGTTATTATTACGGCCTGCTCCAATAAAGATAAGCTTGGGTTTCGCTTTTGAACCATTTGCAGTTGTCACTGTTATACCCACACAGCATTTTTCCTTCCAGTTCTATGCATTCCCTTCTAATTTGATTGGAAACAGAGCACTATTGTAATTGTATGAACCAGAACAGTGGAATCTAACTCTTAGAATAAGACCTGACAAAGTGTTAAAGCTAGCATGTTCTGATATATGTATCACGACAACTAGTGTTCCACTAGCCAGCCAGCCAGCCAACATCATTCATCTGCAGCACCTCATCGATTGCTGTCAAAGATCAATATCTGTCCCTTCTTCTGTGAGAATGGGAAATGTTTGAAGGGTATTTCAGCATGGATGGAGGAGGGGCTTCTCTGGCTTGTACCTGCAGAAAAATCTGAGCTGGTTGCTGCGCTTGCTTGCATTTTAGTACTAACTCTAGACTAGCGTGAGCTGTTGCCTTTGACGAAAAGCGGCACCCACGATTTTATACTTTGTGAAAGATTCACGGTGTGGTGGCTCCCATGGCCTCTCATTGTTGGAGTTGGGGAAGTGCCTCGCTGCTTCCAAGATTTCATGTTGAAATCTATCAAGGGCCCTGAACAGTGCCTTGGTCATGATTGCAGCAGATGAAGCGGTCAGACAACTAGCCATGCCCGCATCTTTTGATGTTAAGCTAAGCCATATCATTATCATCAAGGGCTGTGGTAAAATGATCTCGAATATTGATTAGAATAACAAAAATAAACTCAAATTATCTTTATCTTGTGATTAACATCTAATCGGGTTTCATATTTATGAAAATATTCTCACCTCATATTCTGTGATTGACAATTAATACGAGAATTTTTAATAATGTTAAATAAAAATATATTATATATTCTTTGAATACTAAACCTTAGCAAAGGACCTTATTAGGAAACTTATTAGCAAAATCCTAAAGAAGCTTGGTCCTTGGAATTCAACGCTCTCATTGCCCTATAGAAGCTTTCGTTCATTTCACGACAAATAAGATTGGAAACAAAAGAAAAAAAAGGGGGGGGAGGGAAGAGAACAATTTTTAGAGAATTAATTAAACAAAGCAAAGATAGAAAAATATTGATAAGGGAAAGATGAAATGTAATCCATACATTGAAAAGTCTTAATTTAATATCAAATGTATCGAAATCCTAGTTGGTCCTTGTGTCGAGATTAAGCTCCATTATGGACTTATGGTGATGTGATATCGATGCTGCCGAACAGACTGTTTATGAATTCTTTCCCCAGGAAGCATTAGCAGAGCCTAGGCTGCAAGGTAATTCTAAGCAGCTTTAACAGAGTGCAGTGTATGGCAAAGCATCAGCCTTAAAGATCTTTGGACTGACAGCATCATTCTGCACAAACAATTCCTGAAGTGCTTCAAAGTCTTTGCATCTAGAGCAAGAAACCTCTCCTCCAGCCAAGAACTGTAGTGAAGAGAATTAATGAGATTAACAGCATGCCACATGTTGGGAAAAAGACAAAGAGAAGGAAGAAGAGGCTAAGTGAAGCCGAAGTTACTTTCATAATTCCACTTCAGACACCCCCAATAAGAAGGAACTTGGATCGCCGGTTCCTAGAAGCGGAATGTACTCTGATCCTCTCACACGGACACTAAAGCACGCTGCAGTAACAACTCAAATAAGGGATCCAGCAAAAGAACACAAATATTATCATGTGCATACAAGTTCTGGATGGATGAGTTTTCAACTCTTTTAAGATCCTTAGAACTTAAACACACACATAAAAACAGGAAACACATGTAATTCTTGGCATAAAATAGAGCATAACTGTATAAATTATTCATTAGTCTAATAAAGAAATCTATTATAATATAATAAATGATGATTTTGGGCAAGAAAACCAACATCAAATTACCATTCTCTATTTTCACTACACTTTGGAGCATTGTCTCCATCTTTGTCTTCATATCAGAACTATCATCCATAAATGGGACAACAAGAGTCAATTCCCTGTAAATATCACGTACAAACTGGCATATCCTCTCAGCAAATTCAACTTCACCATCAGATATTCGACCAATTGCTAATCGCATCAGCTCTCCTGTCAAATCTGCAAGCTGTAAAAGAAGAGTAAACAAACAGCCCCTTCCATCATACATGCACATCTATGTCTGTTTGGTTGGATGTGTCATACTTTTGTGAGTATGCATGTAAACTTCGGAATATCTAGTCCAGTAATTTAGAAGCTGGAATTAAGTAGGCACTACTTTAACAGAAGATATAATGATATATGACCATATTTGCCTCAATTGTTTTCATCAGCCTGTGCCTTCATAATGCAGATACGATAAGTAAAATAGCATAAAACTCAGGCAGCTACCCCTAACAGATAGTCAAGGAGATTAATTTGCAAAGGCTCGAGAGATGGATCACTAAGTGGTAATAAACTAGCATTTATCTCATCAAGATTCAAAAGAGTTCCGGTTTGGCAGAATTTGAAGAATGTTACAGCTTCAACATACTCTTGTACCTGCAAAGACACAAGCATAATAAGGCAACTCACTAGTTTCTCTTCAACATTAAAGTATAAGGAGAAAAAGATGCCACCCCGGGAGAGTATGCTCGCCGTAGTTTCCAAAAATCAGTCCCTTGCAACTCTTTCACCAGTCGGGATATATGCTGATCTCTCACTGCTGCTAAATCCTTTTCTGCCTTTTCCAAAACTTCCTCTCTGTTGTTTTTACTAATTCTGTCATGAAGCACATTGTAGTTCAGAAGTATAACCGATGCAAAGTACATATCGATATGAACCAAATAAAAACAGTTCATTTCTTGTGAAGAAACAAACTCATAATGATAAGGAAAATAGATATTAAATAACAGCAAGTGGAACAATGCATTTCAATTAACTAATTGCATTCTGAACCATACAAATACGCAGCTTGCAAGAGAAAATATTATTATAGCATTAAAATCTTAGACAAAAAATGGGGGTAGCCAAATAAATCTCAATATTACCTGTGCACCTGAAATATGACTTTTTTACTATTCATAGTCACATCACGACTGGCTTTTACCACCCTTTCCCGTTTTTCATTCTACAAACACGATTGAGGTTTGATTAGTCATTGCATAAAAGCATCTTCAGCAATGAAACAAATTCATGTAGAAAGCCACATGATGCAAGGGAACTTTACAGCTTATACTAAACGTTAGAAATATGAGCTTTTTGGAGAACGTATCCACATTGCACGTATCCAACTTCCCAGCAAACTCAACTCTAATTCACTTGCTCAAAATATCTCGACCCCGAAGCTTCACTGCCAGAACAAAGGGGCCTAGATACGAGTTTAAGTTCATAATCAAAGTAGTTATCCATTATTTCCTATAACAGCCATTTCCCCAACTTTGTCCCGTGGAAATGAGGGCTTTAAGCTTTAAAGTTGGTGTTTTAAGGTTTTCAAGGTCAGCTGCTTCTCTTGGTATAAATAATCTCTAAGTTGTAGTTCATGACCCTAAATTTTCGAAAAACTCTAAATTCCTATCTAAATATTTTCAGGGTATTCAAGAGACCCAAGTCAGGGAATGCGAAATGAAGATGAAAAGGGGTGAAAAGAGAAAGAGAAAAGAGAGGAAACTCACAAGGGCATTGAGGTAATCCGCGTAGGTGGAAAAGGCGTCCTTGATGGAGAAATGGGTGCTCACTGTCCTTGCTCGTTTCGTTGAGCCCTCCAACGGCAAAGAGGCATCAGCAGCTGCTCGATGTCGGAGGGCAAAGAAGGAATTAGCCACCAATGATAAACAAACAAACAGAAAAAGGGTTCAGGGTTTGAGTGATTACCAGGAGGGAGGCGGTGGGGTTTGAACTTGGGAGCCATCAGCCACGACACAGATATCCTGCGGAATAATGCTGCCGAGGAATTCAACATCTGTTCCCTTTGCCACCTATACCTCTGTCTGCGCACCCTTTTTCCCACAATTTTCATTTTCTATTTTATTAATTTTGCAAATTAAATTTATTTTTTATATATTTTAATAAATTAAAATTTTTAAAAACATCAAAAATATCTTATTTCAGTGCTTATATAATATAAATATAACATATTATAACACTCAATATAGAAAATATTATATGGTTAAGAAAATGAATAAAGCGTTAGTACTATGCAGTATTATGTTTATTCTTTTGACTATCTATGATTTTAAATAAATATGGATTGAGACATAATGTTTTAATTTTATTAATTATATAATCTTATTATTTTCAAGATTTTCATTTTCAATTTAAATTATAAAATTTTAAATACCAGAATATCCCCCCGAAAATATTTAGTTTTATTTTCGTTGAAATAAAGGAAACGGTGCCGTGCGGGTAAAAGTAGAATGCTAAAACAGGATGTCGTTTCGAAACTCACTTGCCTCGAATACTGGCTCGGTTCGGGGCGCGCGGGCACTAGCCTCCGTCTCGTCAAAAACCGTTGGCTTCCACAACCGGTGGGCGAAGCTGCAGCTGCTTCTGGTTCTGAACCTGACCTCTTTAAATTCCACAAATCCGACGCTAAACAAAATTACTAAGGAATAAGAAAAATGGTGACGGTGATAGTAGCCACAACCACCGATCCCGCCTCGATCAACCCAGCCACCGCCCTCTTGGCCATGCCCGGTTGGCTCCCCGGTCCCTCTTTGTTCCAGGTAGCTGTTAGTATAATCACATTAATTGATAACACTATCTTGATCACGTGATCAATGAAAAATTTATTCTCAATCTTTACCAGACACGACGGTGACTTTGTTCGTTTATATTTGTCAGGACATCATAAGCTTTACTAATCGAAACGTTCGATTACTTCAACACAACAAAAGCATAGTCGAAGAGGATGATTTGGATCGCCGTTGGGAAGAAGCCACCGGGGAGGCCGTCGACGAGGTTATTTTCTTCAGCAAACACACCGCCGTATCCAACCGCCCTGCTCTCACTGTTCACCCGATCGGTATTTTTTGTTTGTTTGTTTAATGTTACTTTATTTTTTTTATTCTTCAGATCAAAAGCTTACTACTTTTTTGTGTGGGTGAAATGTAGGGGTGCCTCATTTGCGTGAAGGAGATGTTCCGCCACAGGGTGGGAGGCCCGGTTGGGCGGCGCCGCCTGACCCAAGGATAGGGCCATGGCTTAGGCTTTTGAAGATAATTGCTCAGTCTCATAATTTGGTTCCTGAATTTGAGGTCAATTTAATTTATTGATTATTGCTTACTATGTTGTTAAGTTACCTATTTTTGCTTCTTATTATTGTTTAATTTGGTTATAGATAACTTTGGAGGGTACCCATCATGGACCTATAACAACCAAACCAACTATGTTCCTTGAGATTGGTAATGCGGTATTTTCTTTTTTGGTCACTAGTTTAGAGCTTCATTTATTTTATTTTTTTTTGAAATAAAAGGAGAAACATTAGAGCTTCATTTACTTCAATATGACCATAGCTGTCCTAAAATTTGCATCCAAATTATATCTTGAAGAAAATTATGCTGAAATTTGAAGAGACAAACATAGAAATGAATGAATAAATGGAAAAGCGGCTATCTTTGTTGACATGGGATGGGATGAATGCTGGATTTCGTTTTATGCAGTTAGGATAATGTTCTTATGCGATTAGCAATTCGGATTTTATTTTTTTAAAGTGCTATACATGGTGAATCTTTGCCAGTTAGGATGGGATTGTTGTTTTATGATGAAATGTAGTTAGTATAGGTGTACATACATGCATTCAGAATGACTGAGAGATAAAATTGATATCTAGACATGGATTTTGTTTGACATTTTCTTTAAGTGCTACTTCATTGAGAAGAACTTTGTCCACAATTGATTTTGAGAAACATGCATTTCATTTTTTAGCTCTGTCACTCATCGAGTGTGCTACCCTTCATCATGTTACTTTTTTCTTTGCAATAGATTGCTAACCAAAAGGAAGAAGAAAGAAAATCCAGTTTATGTTTCAATGTTTAGTTGATTTCAACCGGAAGAGTCATTTAAGCTGTTTTGTATTGTGGCTCATAATTTCTTGTCTGCTTCATGCTGATAACCTCCCTGTACTGCAAAAAATAAAGCTCCTGTCAGATGAATTTCTACAATGGGTGTTTACAATGTACTTGCTTTCCTTTTTCTCTGTGTTTAATATGTTTTCTTTTTGGTTGATGTAGGCAGTACAGATGAATACTGGAAGAGGCAAGATGCTGCTCAAGTCATTGCTCTAGTTGAGTAGATATTTAGCCTTTCCTATACCAAGACTTAGTCATTAGCATGCCCCAATTATTATCATGCCTTTGTTTTTTTCTTTTTCTGGAATTTTATATGACATTTTGGTGAATTTATTCATGTTCGAAATTAGTTTTAACCCTCCCAATTTACTTAGATAAGACAATAAACTTTGATGGTTGATCATGAATAACTTTTTTTATACTTTCAATATAACACATTGAATTTTGGTAGTAAGTAAAATAGATAGTTAATTAGAAGTGATAGGCTTTGTTCCCTGACATTTTTTTGTTTGTGCTTTGAAGTTAGTTTGGAAAGGACTTGGGCTTGGAGGTGGTGATGAAGTCGGAAAATGGGGCAGGTACTGGCCAAATAACTGAAATATGTAGGCTTTTCTTAACCAATAATAATGCTGGCTTGATGCTCGACTACTATTTGTTTTGCTTAAACTCAGTTATGCCTGAAGACATCCTGTCCTGATAATATTATTGGTAGACAAGCAGTTATTTTTGCCTTATTTTCTGACATCCCCTTTTTGGTTTAATTTTTGGTAACAAAGAGTTTATTGTTCATGACAATATGCCTTTGCATTATTAACATAACCCACTGTTTATAAATTTATGTTATTCAAGGGAGAATGACAATAACAAAGTGCTTTTTGGAATTGGTGGTGGACATTATGCTCCTCGACACATGGATATAGTCATGTAAGTTACTGTTATGGATAACTTTTCTTTGTTTATATGCTACTCGTTCTTGAAATTTCTTCTTGTTACCACATTTTTCCTGTTATGCTAAACTTATCAAATGCCTCTTTAAGTTTTTTGTTCTCTTGGTTTCCCGGAAAATGAAAGGGCCGGCTATTGCAAGAGGCTTTGTTCACTATTAATAACCTTTTCTTTGTATGTAAACTACTAACTGCAGAAACAGTAGTGTTTGGGTGGGCCACCTGCTTTCTGGATATTCCTTGCCAATGGAAGATCCAAGTCACTCAAAAGTAAATGGAAATACGGAAGTTATTGGTGGAACCTGGAGAGAATCAATTAAAGTTGCATTTGCGGCTACAAAATCAGCTTTCCCTGGTGGGGAAGTTATGGCACATCTTGATCACAAGTATGTTAACTGATAAATATTTTGCATGACCTCATGGTTCTTATGTTTTTGTTTATATGTTGTGTTATTAATGTAGAAACATGTTCAAGTATTTGGTTACTGTTAGAAGCAATTAAGGACTGAGGGTCTCCAGGAGTTATGCAGCTATATAGGTTTTAGCTAGAGAGAGAGTCTACTTAACATCTAAGAGGCGAGCTGGATTATTTTGTGCGAGAGATACTGACTTGGTGTTAGTGAGAATTGAAGTTTGGGCTGGGGACATTAGCAGATCAGAAGATAAAAAAGGAATATAAAGTAATGAAAAAGAGTCTTTTGGTCGCTTTCCCCATCTGCCTTTCCCTGTGTTCCATTTCTTCTTTTCCTGAGAAAGGACCTTAGATCCTGCTCACCAAGCCACTTTTGAGTTCCTTTTGGTGGTTGCTCATAGCGATTGAGATGAACACATGTTTTTAATCAAATAAAATAAACACTTTCTGCTCACACTTATGGGAACTATTGCAAGAAAAAGAGAAAGAGGCTGAGGGTGGAGTTGGAAGGAGAGAAGGACTAAAAGCAATTATGCCTTAGTTTCTACAGATCATATCAAAGTTATGAATAATATCTTAAAGTTACAATTTCAGCCTCTGGATAACTAAGTGATGCCATTTGGGATTGGTTCCAGTGGATTGTGGAAGGGTTTTTGGTAGATATTTTAGATGCAAGTCATAGAGCACTTCTCTAGTAGAGATACTAAATAAACCTTCTTGGTTCTAAATTGTTTCTGAAACCCAGTGCTCCATTTCAGAATGGATTGTGAAAGTATAAAAAATACGAAACAGGGTCTACTCTTTTATTTGGTTATTTAATTTAACAAACTAAATGTATTATAACGTTGACTCCTGGATTTTCTGTGGTCACTTGGAATAGTGTTCAGTGGCTGTTTGGGATAGTGGGCTAAATGATTGTTGAATCCATTCCCTTGTCTTCGCTGCACATTTGTTTGTATTGACAGCTGGTGCAAGTTAATGAGGGATTAAAGAAAATAAGGGGTCGAAAATCAGGAGTAGAGACTAAATGTTTTTCAGTTATTATCTACTACTTTTATTCTTTTGGTCATGAATTATTTCTGCTATTGAAACTCTGCTGCTGGAGAACATCTTAGATACTGTAGCACAACACCCCTTGATGCTTATTCCTGATTTCAGGAGTTTCAAGAGCTGGCAGAAAAATGCAATTACTGCATTTTTAAGTGAGCAGAACATTAAAATTGGCAAGCCAAACGACTTCATTTGATTGCTATTGGTTTCTGGATGGACTACTTTTCCCTAGCAATAAATGTGCTAGGGATTTTTGTCGATGCAGAAGAATTGATTACTATAGAATATATACTATAGTTATTCAGCAGCATCCAAACAATTTTGGTAGGAAGCAAGGGATCCACCACAGTAAAGGATGAATGACAAAAGAGCAGCCTGTGCGAGGATGATCAAAAAGTCTCTGCTGATATATAAATGCTTCATGCTTTGTATTTGTTTTTAATGACTTGTTTTACTTTGTCCGTCATGGTTACAGCTAGTTGAACAATATCATATAAGTAATTAAGAAGTTTTGTATTTATACCTTGCTGCATTTTTGCAGTTAAATGCAATAACAAATCTTTTATCATGAATTCCTATGGCATTATTTGTTAGCATTAAGCTTATGTTGATTTTTAATATGGGGTGCTTTCTAGATTGCATGTTTTCGTTGATGCCAACTATCTCTAGGAAATGTCAAGAGCAGAATATGTAGACCATATTGGACTGAGATTTTGTATTAGAACTTGATGTCCACTGTATCATCAGGCACTCGTGATTTTTTCTCCCACCCAATCTAGCGACGTCGTTGCCGCTATTAGTTGGCTCAGCTTGCCTCTCTTTCGGAAGTGCTTGGTGTGGGTCGGATCTGTTTTGCATTTTGTCATAAAATCATTATTCTCTCTCTAAAAGACTAACTCAATAGAATGTGTAGTGTTCATATTTATAATTCTCTCATTTGCTTCAATATCCATGCCTCAGTATGTAAAAAATAAAATACACGCACTTATTGTTGTGTCAAATATTTAGAAGCATGATATACAAACTAAAATATGTGATTCATTGTTGTATCAAAGTCTCATAATGAACCCATATGACGTGAAGAGAGCCACGGTTTTCCTGCAAAATTTAGTACCATCTCAACTTGGCATCATCCATTGGACTCCATCCTTTTGGAGAAGTCTTCCAAAGCCTAAAGATAAGTCAGTCCAAATCTCCTAACAACTGTTAAAAACCTAACTAGATTCTGGCCCTTCATCCCAATCGGCAGCCTTAGGGATTTGCAAGCGAGAGAAAATCAGCATTTTCCTATTCATGACCATAGCTTTTCCATGTTCTCAGTGCCTACTATTGCTTTCAATTCATCTCTTTTCATTCATGCTGTCAGGTGGTTACTTAGGCTTATAAAATTTGACTTGATTAGATATTTCCCAATTCTCAATATATTATTTTAGATATGTATCATCATGAAATAAAAATCCTTATTACTAGTATTTGTTTATTGTTATTATATCTATTTTTTGACTAACAAGGCAGTGGCTTGAAGCAGGCATGGACTATGATGGCCAACATGAAACTTGCCCAATTTGCCAACATTCCTTGGGCTGCCAGGAACCCAATACTCTTCCCATCATTGACTTCATTACAACCGTTGGATCAAGCAACGAGGTATCGACATGAACATCCAAACCAAATGAACATAGGACCTTGAAAGCATACATGGAGTTGTCTGTAGTCAGGTGACAACAGCATCTGGCTTTATCTTCCTCGGTAAAATCCAAAAAAAAAAAAAACCAACAAGAGAAGAGAATTTTGAAAGGGGAAGGGGTTAAGCAAAATTCATATCTATGAGTTGGTAGACTTTGACAGACAAAAAACCACAGGAATTGGCCGACCAAGTCCCCTTCAGAAATGGGGTTTCTGTCCATTTGTCAAATTTATGTTGTTGAAATTGAATTGAGACCCAACAAATAAGATAAACAGAACTCAGCAGCTTTTGTTCCCCCCACCCCTGGAAGGCCTCACTTGTCCAATTCATGCCTGGTTTTGTCGTTTTGGATAAGACCTTGCTTGGCTTCTTGCTTGAAGGGGTATTATTGTTTTCATTTGAGTGATTCTGGGTTTTGGGGGAGCTTTATTTCATTTTAATGTCATTATGGTGAACAAAAGGGAATTAATGAATTAAATCTCTTACCATATTGGTAGATACGTATCAATTGCTTTCATATTATTTACATCCATTTCAAGCCTCATTAATGTTGCAAATTTATTCCCCTTTTTTGCACATTTTGAAGCATCCCCCATGAAAGAACCGAAAATGTTAACAAAAACAAAAAAAGAAGTAATTTTATGAAAAATTGTCTATCAAGGAAAAAGAGATTTGAATTTGACTTTTTAAATACAAAATACATTCATTTATTAAATATTTAAATATTTTTTGTATACAATGATAAATATGGTATTCAATTGAGTGAAACTTAAGTCATCTCGAAAGGGACACTAGAGTTTAAGAATCTAAAATTCAATTTCGAATATAAAACAAAATTTATGAAATGAAAAAATAAAATTATCTCTAATTACGTAACTCAAAATTATATATATATATATATATATAAAAAAACAAAATCAGGTCATGAATTAAAAGGTCGATATTGTTCTTGTTAATAAATTAATACAATAAGAAAAATAATTGTGTAGGTCATAGTTAGATAGTCAAGTGAAGGCTAGGTCCATGGAGTCATGGAATTTGCTCAAAACTTTCATAACCATAAAACGAAGAGGAAAAAACATATGAAAGCCATGACAACAAAACCGAAAGAGATTTTTTGTATTAAAAAATTGCTTAGTTAAGTACAAAAATCCTTAATTTCTGCAAATGGATATTAAGTGTGAACAAGGAACCTGGTAAATCTTTTCTTCTTTCTTACGAAAAATACCATAACTGTCTCATACTTGTCAAGACTGTATCGATTCAAAGCACTTGAATTAAGCTCGAATAAAAATTAGATATTTTATAATTTTATCGTAATTAATAAATTTAAACATGTGGCTTGGATTGAATTTGACTAAATGGGGTGGTATTAAAAACATATTTGCATGGTAGAAAACGATGGATGGACATATAGAATAAACAGAAAACACTTGGGGACCTTGAACTTGCCCCCAATATGTATGGTAAAATATTGTATAATAAGAATTGGTGCATGTGAAGCTGAAATTAATTAGGGTTTGCTTAGGATCCCCATGAAAGAGACCTTCCTTTTTGTCTTTGCTAGGGACTCAAACATGGAGATCAAGTGTATAATAATGATTGGAATATTTTACTGTACCACCCAAGGTGGAGATCAAAGGAGGAACATGGCTTTACTGCATGCTTGATCCTCTATATGTTTAATTTTAGAGTTTCTTTTTTTATAATATTGGGATAAGGAAGAACATCTGTCTTAAAAATACAAGAAGATAAGATAAACTAATTTAATTTAAATAATGAATTAAAGGGTTTAAGCAAAAAAATTAAGATTAAGGTTTCGTAATCTATTTAGAAGCTTTTGATTTAAATTGTTCGAAATAGATTATAAAACCCAAAATCTTTATATATAAAAAAACGAGTTGGTACGAGAATATAAATTGATTATAGTAATGAAAAAAAGAAAAGGGAATGTAGGATTCCATCTACATCTACCATTTTCTCTTGATTTTTTTTTGGTGGCTAGGGAAATGTTGGGTTTGTTGACATTATTTGATTGCCCAAGATTGTATTTCTTTTTTGGGATAAAGAATGAAGTAGTTATGAGAGCAAGTTACCTACACAACTAGCTCTCCAAAGGAAAGTTTACTTAAACTCAAACCTCATACTTACCTACCCTAACCTACTTCCATAATCCAAAGCTAAACATTATAATAGGACAACTCTGAAATTTTTCATAATTGTTATTCACGAGATCAAAAAATTAAAAAAAAAAACATACCATGATGTGGACAATAATATGATCATATCATATTTTTACCATTCACATTAATATTACATCAGTGCAACATAAGTATAAATTAATAAATAATATTTTAATTAATTATTAGTAATAAAAATTTATTTAATTCGAAATAAAAATGTAGTTTTGATTGAGTGCAATTATGTTACAAATATATGATTTACTTCTTTGATTTAATTATTATATATAAATTGGTGTAAGAAAAAGTATTTAATTAATTCCAAAATATGTAAGATTTTTGTTTATCTACCATCTTTATTAGGAAATTCTAACAAATAAAAATCAAATGTGCAATTTTAGTGGACCAGTGAGTTAGTGACACGTAACAGATACAAAATAGTACGGGAATCGAAACTGTACCTAATTGTACCTCGTCATCACCAAAATCCGTTGCGACTCCATATTTTGCCTTTTAACAGTCTTACGTCATATTCATGGGATCAGCGCCCCCTTTCCGGTTCAAATGTCCACGTCCCGACAAAAAAATAAAGGAGGAGGGTTCTACCTTCCTCTCGGCTCACGTTACCATTCCCCGACCTGGATACACGTGTACTCCAACCAACCTATGAGATCATCTCAATCGTGTGGTGCCGATCCCAAAAAAAAAAAGTCTTAATGATGAGCGTCTATCCAGTGCACCACACTTCTTTTCACCACCTTACACCCATCCCTCCTATCCGATAAAATATTATTACGTATGCCATTTTTTTTCCAATGATGAAGTATAAGATAAAAGTTATAATTTAATATTTGACATATTATTAATTAAAACGCGTATTGTTATCAACATAAAAACTTTACGTTTAATCAAAAAAGTTTTATTAAAAAATAAAACAAGAACACTCTCTAAAACTAGGATACAAAATAAAATTTTTTCCAACGGAGTTGAATGTATACTATTAAAATATATAAAATATATTATTAAAGTTTTAAATTTACTATATTTTATATGATGGATTAGTTATAGGCAAAAAATAATAATAATCGTAAATCAAGCTTTTAATGGTGATGGTAAAAATTAATGATGCAACTTAGATTAATTTCTTTATGCAATCAACGGCTGATCCCGCGGTTCCAGAATGAAGCCGGTCGTTGAGGATCATTTATAAAGTGAGAGAGAGAGTTTGACTCGGGAAAAGTGGGGAGGGTGAAGCTGGACAAGGTGGGGACCCACACGGAAAAGATACTAAAACAAAGTTAGTAAATAAAAAAAAAGACAGCTCAAGATCTCCTCTAACAAACTAACACGTGTACTGGAAATCATCGTCTCCTCTTCATCATCTTCACTGGATTCGCAGCCACAGCTTCGACTTCCCCTTTATCGTTTCTCTGCCGTTCTTTTACTACAAAAAGAAAAATGAAATAATAACAAATCTCCGGTGAATAACCATACGAACACTGAACTGTTTCCAGTTTTGACTCAAGAAGAGCGAGCTCAGGTTCTCCGACATCTCTGCCAGCTTCAAACAGAAAAAAGAACAAGAGAGGCAAAGTCAAAAGAAAAGAGAGTTTGTTTTGGCTGTTGTTGTTGCTTCGGCTGCTGATGCTGTTGGTTGGAAGGAAATTTTGGAGTTTTCTTTTTATTTTTATTTTCTGGGAAAGTGAACAGGCAAAGCGGCGTTATCGGTGTGGTTAATACAGTCCGAAAAATGGGGTGGGGATAATTAATGCTAAAGCTGAGCCAAATAAATAAGGGGTTGTGGTGGGGGTATCTCAAAAACCCTCTAAAAAAGAAAAAGAAAAAGGAAAAAGGCAAAGGAAAGAGAAAGAGAACGAGAAAGAGCCGTTTGTTTGCTTTGCTACAGCAATTAATGACAGATAGGTGTGTAGTGTTGACCCTTTTTGTTACGTATTTTCGATAATTACAACTCATTTCATTTATTTAATAATTAAGATTTTCTGCTTCTCTCTCTCTCTCCCTCTCTGCACATTGATCTCCATTTATTAACTCTGTTTTTCCGCTCCTTACTCTTTCTCCTGGCTCCTTTCTCTGTTGTTAAGTCTCTTAAAAGCACCCAGAGCTTCCTTCTCTCTTTCATTCAAAGTTGGGTTTTGAGCTTTGCTTCTTTTAAAGCTTCTTAATTTTGATAAGAATTTCTATTCAGGTAAAAAAGAATGTTAATTTATTGTTTGCTCTGCTTCCTTTCCCTTCGAAAGGCTCTTCCTTTCTCTCAGATTCCCCTTTGTTTCATTTGTAACCTTTGTTTCATTTGGCCTTTTGCAGTGAAGATTGTTGACAGTTCATGTATTGAATCACAGAAAGAAAGAAAGAAAGAAAGAAAAAAGGTACTACAATAATTTATTTTAATATATATTTTTTGTATGATTGTTTCTCCTTTTTGGGTTTTTGTATTTGTTGGGATCTGCTTCAGATCTTTGATATTCTCTCCTTTTGGTTTTTACTACTTTTTTTTTTCATGAGTTTGAGCTAAACCAATCTGGGATATTTTTGGTTTTAATAATTATAATAGTGGGTTAGATCTGGTTAGAGCTAGAAAACAGAACAGATGGTGGCATTGTTGAACAAAACGGAAAGGTTCATTTAAGGGTTTTAAAATCAGTTTTAAACTTTTTAGTTATAATTTAGTGGTTGAAAGTTTATGTAAGCTTTTCCAAAAGGTAAAAACTTTTTTCTCTCGTCTTTTTGTATATTGAGGACTGACTAAACAAAAAAAGATTCCGCATGGTGAACCGAAAGGTTTTTGATCATGGAGCAATCTGTTTGTACTTTTACACTGTTTTTGTTGTATATAATTGGATAATTATTTGTGCTTTTTCTCTCTTTTTCTTTCTTTTAGTTTGTAAAGATGACTGTGGTTTGGAATTTTAGGGCTCTGTTTTTGGTGCATATAATTGGATAATTGCTGGTTTTCCAAGCTAATAAATGAGCTTGGGTTACATGGTTCTGCTGATCTGGTTTATATTACTTTTGGGACTGGTATTATTTGAGCTTCGCTTTTGAATTTTATTCGTTTTTCTGGCTTTCTGTTTTTGTCTTTGAAGATCATTAGTTTTTAGGTTAAGGCTGTTCGGTTCATATCAACCGTCGTCTACTCCTCTTTCAATCTCATGTTTTTCTATGCTTGCCAAAAAGTTTGAAAGCAATCATGGAGGTGGATAATGATTCCTTCTTGAGTAATTTAGCTGCACAATGTTTCTGACAGGGTGGATCCAAACTGATTATGTGGGTGCTTTGCTTTAGAGAAATTTTCATATTCCATCCTTTTTGAGCAACTTTATATTTAATATGTCTCTTGGTAGCTGTTCCTATTTTCTCTTTTTAGGAGACTCCAATAATTTCAAGTTTGTTGCTGACCTAACTTGTCCTGCATTTCATGGGCAGGGTAGCTCTCAAATGCCATATGGTGTATGGTTGAAGATATCACTCTTAGTAATCAAGAAGCCAACCAATGTAAAACATGAAACTTGGTAATAACACCGTTTCCAATTTTCCTTCTCTTCATCTCTGTCTCTCCTACAGACATCTCTATTTAAGGTCTTCTTTGCAATCTTATGCTAGAATTAACAGCCATTTGTTGTAACTTTGCTTTCCAATTTCTTCGTCTACTGGAATTTAGTTTTGCGTTTGTGTTGGGGCTTTATTTTATGTTTAACTTATGGGTAATCATTGCACTGTTTTATAAATAATTTGACAGCATGAAGGTGCTTAACATGGCTACTAAATGGTTTCAAACATCTTGGTTTACATTTTCATCTTTCAGATGTTATTGTCTCGTGCATGTTATTCTGCCAGCCAGATTTATATGTGAAGATTATGGTGTTTATTGAATACTTTTATGTACTTGCAGATAATGAACAAGTGCTTTGTCATTCAACTATAGGCCACAAGAGTGACTCAAAGCCTTGTTCCTTCATAGCTGACACCAAACCTTTTGAGAACAAAGACAAGCCTCTGGATTCCACTGGATTGAATGCGGAAGGAGTTGTGAAGGAAAATCAGAATGGAGTTGTGCATGATATAAAGGGAAATGATGGGCATTCAGATCCCTCACTATATCTAGATAATACAAGAGATGGATGGCCAGCATCAAAACTTGATTGTTCTATTAGTGTAAATGACTTTGCCAATGGTAATGAAAAGGAGGTCAGACATTTTATGACATCAAATTCTCACTCTTTGAAGAATATGGATTCATTTCAGAACTCAGTTTTTTATTTAGACAAAAGTGTTATGGAATGTGAACTGCCTGAATTGGTAGTTTGTTATAAAGAGAGTACATATCATGTTGTCAAGGACATCTGTATTGATGAGGGAGTTCCAACACAGGACAAGTTCTTGTTTGAGACTGGCATGGATGAGAAGATTGACTGTAACTTTCTGCCTTCTGAAAAGGATCAAGATAGTAAACTGATGAAAGAAAAATTGGAGACAGATATGTGCATGCAAGATGTTTCCATGTCTCCAGAAGAAAATCAATCTGGCAAGGATATCGACAGTGAATGTGGTTCTAATAAAAAACTTGACACTGATACATGTATGCAAGATGTTTCTTTATCTCTAGAAAAAAATGAGTCTAACAAGGGAATTCTGAATCAATGTGATTCTAAGGATTTGATGCTGACTAGGGAAGTGAAAGATGATGCAATGAAAATGGTCACAGATGATGTCTCTAAAGAGTTGTTTACCCTCGGAGAGTTACTTTCAATGCCAGAATTGAGCAAAGTGAACCCTGAAGCCATGTCTTCCGATTGCAAAAGTGATGGAATTGAACAACAGTCTTTTCAGGTAAAACTTATCTTTGTCAAAGTTACTAAATTTCAATGTAGCATACCAAAATTTCTTGTTATAATAGTATGGACTCATCTATGTATGCAATGAAATTTGCATTAGTACGCTTTATCACCTTCTATATTTTTGCATTCATGTTTGAGTTCAGCATTAAAGGCACCGTGTTTTTATGCGAAAAGTAAAAACAAGAAGAAAAATCATAATAATTTTGTTTTCCATCAGTTGGGCAATAATTAAGTTAGAAATCCATGAACATCTGACAAGTATCCAGATTAGTGATGATAGTTTTCTATTAGGGGTTCAGGAGAGAGAGGGATTTACATCTTAGGAAGTAACATGATGTGTTTTGGCTTGAATGCAGAGCTCAAGCGAAAAGGAAGTCATGGTGCTGCCCCCCTTAGTTTCTGCGGTTGAAGAATCAAAAAATAGCAATGAGGAGGCAATTGTATCTGTTCCTGCATTGGTCTCTACAACTGAAGAATTAGACAGTGGGAAAGGGGAAGCTAGCCTGATCAGTCCTGCTCAGGTCTCTACTTCTGAGGAATCAACCGGCAGCAGCCTTGTCAATGAGGTGTCTTGTGATAACAAACTGGAGACTGGAAGCATAACATTTAACTTCGATTCTTCTGCACCAACAAGCAGCAAAGATGAGTGTCACCACAATCTTGACAGTGAACCTCTTGGGACCGGAAGTACACCCAAGCTTGAAGTTGCAGCTGATCAGTCTATTTCAAACAATCTTCAACAAGGAATTGGAGAGTCTAGTTTCTCTGCTGCAGGGCTGGTAACAGGTCTGATAAGTTACTCTGGGCCAGTAGCATATTCTGGCAGTCTCTCTCTTAGATCAGATAGCAGCACAACGAGCACTCGTTCCTTTGCCTTCCCAATGTAATTTACTGGCAAACTATTCGTCTTTTGCTCCTAACTTTTCCTTTTATATTATCCAATTCATAACCAGTGATCAGCTGTTTTGATTTTGGTTTTTCCTCTATGCAGATTGCAGTCTGAATGGAATAGCAGTCCAGTAAGAATGGCAAAAGCTGACCGGAGACATTACCGGAAGCATAAGGGTTGGAGGCATGGCCTCCTTTGCTGTAGATTCTGAAATGTTCTATTCTATCCATAGGTCATACATCACCAAATTAATTATTTTTGCTTAGCAAGTTATATACATCATCTCCCTTTCCCTCGCTTGGCCTGTAATGTGCAGTAGGTTTAGAGTGTCATGCTTAGAGTTTTGATCTCGTGCATGCAAATTTGAGCTGTAAGCAATATCTTATAATTTTCATATCATTGTAGTATTTCCTTTTTTGTTTTCACCTTGTTCATAATATCAGCTTATATCAGATAAAGAGAGTTCATTATTCATAACTGCTTTCTTACTATTGCCTCAACTTTCCCGTTCAAAATATCAGCTCATTTGCTAAATTCACTCAGTTACAAGATCGAATAGCAATGTTCATGTTATAGAATTAAATCTTAAACAATGCAGGATAATATTTCCACTGCCATGTTATTTTGCATTTCATGCTCCTGCTTTTTCCCAAAGTAAGGGCTGTAAGAACACTAGTGCAGATGATGTTAAAAGTCAAGCTGGAAATGCTGGAATTGACTTGAAGTGAGCAGGCTCTGCTCTAACATCTGAGAGGTTGGCCCCTTGATGACACCCAGGCCTACTTGTGGGTTTATTCGAATTTGGAATCAACCGTGACAAAGCTGAGCACTGATGGCAATCTTTTCATCTTCTTCTTTTTGGTCTTAGCAATGCTTACAAGTTTGTATAAAACCATAAATGACCTGAAACGACCATCCAATATGCAATGTGACGCATGACTTGAACATTTTTATTTCGATACTGAGTTTTTTTTTATTTCTTGTGCAACCTGGCCAAATGCCTGACAGGGTTTTCAATGTCATCGCAAGTTGATGGCAGGGATGACAGTTTTCTACCATAAAACAGTGTCATTTATGTACCATAATCCCTAGAAAGATGCATACGCAATTAGATGAAATGGGGGATGCATTTAAATTGTTATGTTTCACATCAGTTCACATCAAGGTATTGTATGCTTTAGTCGTTTAGACTTATTATTTTTTTTCCACAAAAAATGTTGCGGAAGTTATAACAATCTGCCATGTTAGCATATCTACCGGGGATTAGGTAACTGATTTGTCAAAGGCTTGCTATTGGATCAATGAGATGGCTATGAATCAAGCTAGCTAGGGTCTACTCCTAGGCTAATCTAAGCCTAGGGAAATCCCTTTCTTGTCCTTTGATTTCTAGTTCAGAGGTAATTTTCTTGGATAGTCAAGTAGGTGTCTTTCCATTGTACCAAACCTCTTGCCTGCTTTTATTGCCTAGCATTTGCCCATTGGGCATGGTTGGGCCAAACCTATTTGCCTAGCTAACTAACCTTACTAATTATATTCGGTTTATGATTATGACATAGTTTTTACACCCAAGGATTAGCTTTATTTCTGATTATCTTTGATCATACCCAAATCTAAAATAAAACAAAAAAGAAAAAAAGAAAAGGACTATGACTAGGTTTTTCTATGAACAGTGAACATGGCATTGCATATTCTACTCAAGGTTACATTTTCTTGCAGACATCCTGATTTGTTTATCATCAATAATTTATCATATGATATCTGAATTCGATTTTACGATAAAGGTCCATTTTTTATATCTAAAAAAAGTTGTAAAATAGTATTTGTCTGATCAGTAGAGGACAAAGTTGAACTCACAGCTGCTATAATTTCTTCTGGTGGTCAAACATTCAGGCGCCCTTTGCACACTCTTGTCCATTTCTTTAAAATGGTCTTCCATAGATTTACTGCGCATGCACGTGTATTGTCTTTGAAACAAAAGGCTTCTAACCAGTAAGATTATTTTGCTGTCTCATATTCCAGTTTCCAACTACTGATTACATTTGACTGCGTTGGGTATGAATGTTCTGGCATCTAGTCTTTCCATAAAGTTTTTGTATACAGTACACTTTGTCGCACACTCTTTAGTTCCAACTTCGGTACGGAAAAAGGAGGAAAGGGTTGTCGGGGTACGTATATGCCAACACCCCTGGAAAGTGGTTTTTTATCAGACAAATTTAGGATTTGAAGCAAAAATATGCGTATACAGGCTTTAACCAGTACTTTTCTTTATCCCCATTAAACAGAAAGAATCTACAAGCTGAAGTGTGCAGTGGCATGTATGAACTGGCCTGCAACTTTTTAGCTAAAGAAATGACTTGCCATGATCAAATGATCAAATATTCTGTTTCTCTTTTAGGCAAAGATATTAAGGGGTATGCTGTCAAAAGCCCATGAATTACTAAAGTAGCAACAAATTGGGTGCTTTGATGGCAGATATAGGTCAGGCTTTGCTATAATGTAATAAAACAAAACCAGGGGTCCTACTGTAGTTGTTGACAAAAACCAACCCAAATGGTATGATCCCTCCTAAAAAGTGAGTATATGTTTAAGATTTTTCCCTGAACATGTTTTGGGACTCTGCAATTTTTGTGCTTTGTGTCTGTTCTCTCTCTCTCTCTCTTTGTCTGTGGGGCTTTGGTTGATATAAAAAGAACCCACTCTCGGAAAATCACAAAGCTGTAGTTACACAAAAACAAAAATCTTCAGAGAGTTGAAGTCATATGGAGCTGTCGGTAGTCATTGCTGTGCTTTGTTTTAGCTTCTTGGCATTGCAAACTCCTTGTACTTCCCTGCAAATCCAGCTGCAATCATCAACTGAACAAGGTAAACCATAAATGGTCTCTCTATCCCTTGTCTCTGTCTGGTCTTTCTCCATTATTTAGTAAGTTTAAGTGCTTTTATCAGGAGCAGCAAAAGGAGTTCAGCTTTCTCTCCCCACACTGCCAAGGAAGCTCAGATTCACTGAGGAATTAGTAGCAGTAAGAATCTGTATACAATCTTAATAGTATAAAATTACCATTATTCTTAGGCTAGTCTGCCTTGTGTTTTTGAATCAGTTTAAAGGAAATGGAGCTCAACATTCAATTTCAAACACCAAGCAGAAGGAAGATATTTCAGGTGACATATCTAATCTGTATCTATATTCCATTAAGTTGGATTTTTTGATCAAAAAACACTGAAGTGCATGCATTCTTACTCCAAGTACATCTCAGCAATGAACAATGAACATTGCTTTTACTTGGGTGTCTTGTAGTCAGAAACAGAAGGAAAATATAGGGTGACTCCCCCTTCCTGACATGAGTGAATGTTCCTCCATTACTTTATGTTTGAAAAGTATACTTGACTTGACTTATACTGAGACCATCCAAAATCTAGGGTCAGCTTGCTCCGAACCCTTTGACTTCAAACTCAAAAACTGCCAAAATTTCCTCACTTAACCCAAGACTCTTGCTTTAACGATGCCATTTACAAATATCTGATATTACAGAATAGAACCAGCTAGCTTTAATAATGTATGTAGTATTAGCAGCAAACAGGTGAAAAAGCAAGAGGAGTAAATCCACAACCAAGGGTATATGACCCTGATTTTGAACCTTTGATCATACAGAATTGAGAAAGTTGTGTGTCTATTTATTTTATTAATACTTTTGGTTTGGACAGGGAAAGCATACCAGAAAGAGGAAGCTAGAGTTCATGGAAGTCGAGGCACAAGGCAAGAATGGGTGGAGGGCCCCGACGTTTCACAATATTTTACGATGGATTATTCGAACGTAAGAAGACGACGACCCATACATAACAAGTCACTGCCGGTTGGTCCTTGAAACATGGGGGATGATACCCTTAGTTTCTGCCTGCTTGCTGCTGCTGCTTTCAGTCTCCCAAGAGTACAGAACAAACTTTTAGGATCACAATTTTGTTACAAGAAACACAAAGTACTAGTCATGCTTTTGTAATTACCCAAATGAGGAACATGTCTTGTTTTCTTCCCGTTCATGGCCGACATTTCTTGACCCAAGATTTTGTTACATTAAACTAGGATAATTACGGAGTCCTGATGAGTTTCTTTTCTGCCAAACTTTTTCTTGGTAGTCAAACGGGGGCTACAAACCCCGATATACGGCAACATGCTTGCGCAAATCACTGGTACTACCTGCTCGTTTACAGTAAAAACAATGCTTGGGATTTGGTTGACGTAGGAGTTAGGCTGGCTGTTTACCGAGGGAAGAACCTTTTGAATGGCAGGAAAACAGGAAATTGATCACTGGTATTTTGATTCATTTGATATCATCTTTCCATGTTTTGACTGTTCACCCTCTGTCTTTGCTTACAACTTCCATGTCTGGCCGGGATATCATTCATGATAAAGGCTATGCTTAGTGCTGTCCATATGGCCTGGCCCGACCCAACCCGACCTCAGCCCTTGTGAACTGAAAAAATATGAATTGAGCCGGATCAGTTCATTTTTTATATGAACCATTGAAATCTCAAATGAGTTGGGTCAGTTTATTTTTATTTTTATTTTAAATTCATTTTTTATTATTTTGATAAATTTTTTATAAATAAAATTATTTTATAATTTAATTCATAAATTGAATAATAAAAACATGTTATAAATAAATAAATTATATTAAATATAAAAAAATAAATAAATTATATAATAAAATTTAAATCTTTAACACAAACTATATCTTATAAACGTAAGTATATAACCAAATAATAAAAATTTCAAGACTCATTTATATCCTCCTCAATCTTTATTCTCGAGTAAAATATTTAAATCTTGTTTAAACAGCAATGATGTTTCAAGGTCTGAATTATTATCAATTTATCATCTAATATTCATTACTATAAAAGAAAAATAAATAATAAGTTTTAATCTAAATTAAACTTTTTAATTTGACAAATGAAGATTAAAGATATTAAAATATATAAAATAAATAATATTATTGATAATTAAATTATTAATTTTATATAATTAAATATATAAAATTATTAAATTAATTAAAATTATTTTTTTCTGATCCCCAGCCCATATAATTATAGGAAGAAATTCCTAATCATAGGAAGAAAATACATAAATTTAAGGAAAAAAATTTGTAATTTAAAAATAAATCAACTCTTAAACTTAAAGTTAAATGATAATTAAAGGTATTAATTAAAAATTTAATTATAATTTATTCAAAATATTTCATTTGATTTTACAAGATTAAATTTGTACGGGGCACATCGCATCAAATTAACTTTAAAAAAATTAATGTGTTGTATCAAAATAATATAAAATAGACTTGACTCATGTCAAGTATTCTTAATATTAATTTTATTTTGAAATATTGTAAAATAAATAAAATTTATTATTTTTATATGAAATAAATGTGTACATATAGATATTTCACTTTAATTTACTATTTATTTTACTTGAATTATGATTTAAATTTTTATTTACTTGTTAAAAAAACAGGAGAGCCCCTTTTGTTTCATCGTGAGGACCGGGATTCCGCGAACCAGCTGTGAGAAAATCGTTTCATCAATCTAGGGTCTATGACGAAACGAGTCGTTTCGGTAAAACGACGTCGTTTCATGAACACTTTTCCTCCTGATAGGCAAGAAAACAGAAGTGCTTAAAACAGATTACAGTAGAGGGGAGCAAAGAATCCAATCCTTCAGATCCCAAAAATGGAAGACTTTTGGAAGCGAGCAAAATCCTTCGCGGAAGAAGCAGCGAAGAAATCGCAATCCCTAGCAACGCCAAACAAAATCGCCGATCTAGTCGCCGAGACCGCCAAGAAGTCCAAGGAGCTCGCTCTGGAAGCCACCAAGAAAGCCGATGAGCTCAAAACCGCCGCTCTCAAACAAGCCGATCAAATCCAAATTCAAAGCATATCCAAGTCCATTTCCGATATCATCCCTCCTCAACTCTCCTCCCTCTCCATTACCGCCTCCGCCTCCACTTCCTCCGATCCTCCACCGATCTCGGATTCGGAGCTCCGGAAGTTTGGACTCACCGATGATTTGAGAGACTTTGTCAGAGGTTTTACTTCTAGTACTTTCCAGAACTTCCCTTACCCTGGTCAAGGTAAATTTTGATTTAATTGCTTTTTTTATTCTTTTTTTTTTAAATTTAAATCTGAAAGTTGTAGATATTTGAGTAGATGAACCAGAGCCGTCCGATGCGACGACTACGGGGTCAAATGTGCGGAAAGATCTGAGTGAGTGGCAAGAGAGGCATGCCACGCTTGTTCTTACTACTGTTAAGGTAAGCAAATTTAGTACATTACATTTTAGAATTTTATAATTATAACCGCTATGTCTGGCATTGCGAATTTGAGTTGTGTTACTGGTAGTCGCCAAATTTGGCCGAAATGACAGTGCTAACCAAACGTATAATTTGTGGATAAGATTTGGATTGAGATGAGTGTTCCCACAGTCACAACTTTTAATCTTGGGATTTCCAATTGCGATTGTAATGCCAAATTAGGCCTAAATTTACTAGGAAATGTTGGAATTGTTTTATATTTTATATACTTTTTAATTAGTTTCTGTAAATCATATTATTTTTAATGCAGGAAATCAAAAAATTAAGATATGAGCTGTGTCCGCGTCTGATGAAAGAAAGAAAATTTTGGAGGATATATTTCACTCTTGTTAGCACTCATGTTGGCCCGTAAGTAATTAATTATTTATTATAATAATGATAATTTAGGATTAGTGAACAAATTCTTATTTCTACTAGTGGTATTTGTAATTTTCAGTTATGAGAAGGAGTACATGGAGGAAGTTAAACAGAGAGCAGAGGAGGCAAAAGAAGATAAATCAAAGCAAACGTCTGTAGTTAAGGCAGAAGAGCCAGAAAGTAGTCTGAAGAGTAAAACTTCAAGCTCATCTGCTGAGCAAGATTTGGATACATTTTTGTTGGGAGATTTTGAAGATAGTGATGGGGGTGGAGGTATATTCACCAAAATTCATGCATTGATTGCAGAGTTATGATATTTTCACATGTTTTTCGTTTCATGCACTTTTGATGTTTTGAATTGCTTTCTCTAGAAGTAATCTATTGGTTTTAAGTTGATGACCTTATTTTCCAAATTATATGTACAAAAAGATGTTTTTCCCAGGAGACACGTTAAGGATCATGGATTGTGTAGCCTAACTGACTATGACCGATTCATTTTAACATGTTGGTCTCGGCAGAGGTGTTTACATGACATGCAATTCTTGATAACTTACTGTAGACATTATTGTAATAACATGGCGAGCTTCATTGTACATAGAAAATCATTTACAGATGAATTGGACTCATATGACTTGTTTTTTCAGATGTTTTCTTTAGCGATTCTTTTCCTGTCAATTTGATAATTATTTGTATGGTTTTCCAGATGATGGCGATGCTGATGCTGATGGGAGCTTTGGTGATGATTTTGACAAGATTGAAAATTCTGTAAGCTTGGATAACTCTATACTACCACTTATTAAGGATTGTCCTAACTGTGCTTCCTGCTGCATTCTTTGATCTACATCTTCGTGATTCATTGATGTTTGTGTCAAGATTCTTCATTCTTGGAAATGGTTGTAACATTTGTCCTCAAATTTTATGGCCCCTCGCAGGATGTTGAAGATGAGAAGAAGACTGCAGCGGGAACTAAAGGTTAAAAGTGCTGGGGAAACACATTGAAGCAAAAGTGAGAACTTGTGTGCTAAGGGGAGAAAAGGACTGAACAGGGGATAGCAGAAGCAGATGCGGGTTCTCAAAATTTGATTGGACGGTTGGGGTTTGGTACTGTGGTGTATGTTTGCTTTATGCAAGATATATAATTTGCAATTTGTTCATTTGTTTAATGCTACAAAGAATTGCAGGTTCTCATACCTGTTCTGTTTGACAGGGAATGAGGGAAGGCTCGAACACCATTAGTTGCCTTGTACAGAGCACATCTCATTCTATTAATTAAATTATTCTTGTTAATGTTTCTCAAAAGTTGTTCATACAATATCTAAACCTTAGAAAATTCCACTCTCATCTTCTGGTGGAAGAACAATATGGGGGAGGATGAAGCCTACGCATCGAAACAGCAATATGCATTCTGTTGCTCTGTAAGAGTCATTAGTGATCCTGAAAAGAGGAAATCCTCAAGATTTTAACCTATGGATTTTTGTCTAATCTTTAAACAAACAAATGCTTGAGAAGCAGGAAAGGTGGTAGGAGATGAGGCAATGCATGATTATTTTCAAATTGCCGTGGTTTTATGTTAATTGCAGTTTTAAGGCATTTAATCATATCGAGACTCCTAAGACACAAATAATATATTTCAAATTTATTTAACGCACAATTAGTTAATTTTGTATTTGCATATTTTGTGAGGAGTTTATTATTTATTTATTTAATCACATATAGTTTAATATATGGTTAAGCTTATTATATTGATTTATAAAATTATAAATATTTTTATCATGATTAAAATTTATTGATATTAAATTTTATTATATTTGATAAATATTATAATATTTATAATTTTTTATTATAAATTTAAATAATGGTATTATATTTTAATTTAATCTAGACATCAAACAAATCAAAGAATGTTGCGGCTCTGACTAATTTTTGAGCATTCCACTTCCACCCCAAGGGAAGATTTATTGTTAGAACCAACTTATTATTCACTGTATACTTAAGCAAAGTTCGAGACCAACATCTACCTTTGTTCACATGCTCTTCTGCTGTTCGAAACTACAGGGCCAGTCGGCCATGTCTCTTCTCTCCCGCTTAATCTCCAACCCTTCAACCAAACCACCCACTTTCTCCCTTTCTTTCACGTTAGTCTCCTCCCTATCCTCTTCCTCTTTCTCTTCGAAATGCAGGGCAGCGCCAATCCCAGCCCCTTCTCAACTCCCTCCAATTCCCAAAAGAGTTCCTTTAACAGTCTCACTCCACGGTCATACGTGGCAAGATCCTTACCATTGGATGCGCAACATCAACGACCCTGATTTCGTAGACTACCTCAACCAAGAGAACTCATATGCTCAAGCTTTCATGGCTGACACTCAAACCCTGCAAAGAGCTATGGTCTCTGAGATGAAAAGCCGAATGCCCTCCAAAATTTCCACTCCTGTTGAACGTTATGGACCCTGGTTTGTAGTTTTTAACCTGATACTTTTCCTTGTTTTGGTTAAGTTTCAGTTTTTGTGTATAAAGTTTCCATCTTTTCCTTATTTGGTGATTGTGATGTGTTAGTGTTATTTGGGTTTATGCTAGTTGTTAAGATTTGGGTTTTTATTAAGTAATGCAATCTTAAAATTATTCGCTTTAGTTGGTGTCAGTTTTATGAATTGTTAGATGTTTGCTTATTGTTGGTGTAGAAAATAGTGTAACCTAATGTTAAATATTTCTAAATCTTAGCTAACATTTGCAGCATAATATTTTTCAGGTTAGCTTTGGTTTAATTGAAAGTCTTTTTGGTTTTTTAGTGTCGGAGAAATGAATTGTGAGCTTACTGATATTTTATGCAGGTTGTACTACGAGTACATACCGGAAGGGAAGGAGTACCCAGTGTTCTGCAGAAGATTAGGAACTGAGAGACGTGGTTGGGTGGAAAGGCTTCTCAGTAATGCGAAAGCTGGATTTGGAAGGGAGGAAATTTTGCTCGACTGGAATGAAGTTGCTGAAAAACATGGCAAGCTTCTATACAAGTGCTTTTTTTTTTCCTCTGGAATTATTTTGGATGGAGATGTGTGGTCATGGGTATAGTTATGCTACTTGATACTATAATGCTTCTTTTTCAAAGGTTTTTTTTTGGCTTAAAAGTCTTGGAAAATATACTTTCTTTCACGGTTAAAACTTTTGTAAGAAAAAATAGCAAAAGCTGAATTCTTCAAACAGAAAATGAATCTTTATAATTCTGACTATATGTTAATGGTATGTGTCCCAAAACATGGCTTTGAAGTCTAGTACCCTTAGCTATTGTTGTACTGCATAGATATATAGCTATAAAGAAAAACTTTTTTATAGTTTTAAGTTGTGGTTAGTATTATTATGTCTTCTGTGCAGGTTATGTGCATGTGGGTCAGTGTCGAATTTCACCAGATCACAATTTTCTGGCATACACACTTGATGCTTCTGGCAGTGAACAGTTCATTCTTCAAATGAAAGACCTCAGAAATGGATATATTGTTCCAAGGGCACGAGTTGATAGAGTTGTTAGCTTGGCATGGGCTCAAGATTGCCAGACTTTGTTCTATACACTTGCTGATGAGAATCAACGACCTTACAGGCACACTTCTTCACTGCATTGTCCAGTCCTTTTTTCAAGATTGAGATGTTTTCCAACCTGTCTCTATCTTTTGCAGGGTTCTTTGCACAAAATTAGGATCAGGTATTACAGATGATGTCTTGGTATTTACAGAAAGTGATTCTAGCTTTTGTGTGGACCTAACAAGTACAAAAGATGGCAAGTTTATAACTGTGAATTCAAATTCAAGGAGTTCATCAGAGGAAGGCATTTACCTTTTAATTACCTTTTGCTTTTCCCACTTTTAGATTATAATTGGCCCTTGTGCCGATCTTATATCCCTTTGCTTTATTACAGGTTTATGTAGTTGATTCAACCGATCCCTTGAGTGGCTTGCAAAGAGTACATGAGCGCGTTTCTGGTGTACAGTATTTTTTGGAACATCATTTTGGTTTCTTTTATATTCTTACAAATGTTCCTATGAAAGGAAGTATGATGTGTTCCACTGAAGGTTATTATTTAGCTAGATGTCAAGTTGGAGATATACAGTCAACTACTTGGCAGGTTTGGTTTGCTTTTCCTTTTGTATCTAGAGAAGTGGATGCCTGATTTTCTTATTTGCTATTTCATTTTTTTCCAACTCAAGCTTATGTACAAACTATCCTCTATTGCATAAATTAATATATTTCTATATGTTTATTCTGTCAGAATATTTTCTATCCCAGTGAAGATACCAGTTTACAAGATATGGACATTTTTAATGGACATTTGGTGCTTTTTCTCAATAAGAAGGGCTTTCCTATGTTATGTTCTGTTGATTTGCCTATCAATGTTGATTGTCAGGTATTCCAATTTCTGCTTGTTCATTCTCTTTTCTTGTAGATTATGAAATAAATGTACTAGATGAAGTATTGTTGTTATTGAGCTTCCTATTCTGTGCTTTATGGCATTAAAGTCTATTGTATCATATTTTTCATCTTTTAGACAGAAACTGGGTTTTCCCTGCCTTTTTTCAAACCATAATTGAATTGTGCCATGAAATGCTTTTTTGTTTTTGGCTTGTTTTTACACTTTTTAACATATAGTTGCAGATTTTAAATAGTATGGTTTGATCTTATCTTTTTGCACCTGCATGTTGTGAAAAAAGAAATAAGTATGAGTCAAAGCATATACATTAAGCATGTTTAATGTATTAAAACAAGAAAATAAAATTAGAGGTAATGATATCTAGTGTAATTAATATACTCAACTTAGGGAGTATTTTTGTTCTACTAATGCCTATTCCAGTTCTGGCTTTCGTGTTTATCCTTGAAAAAGTACACTCCAGCTCCTAAAAGGAAAAGATCACCGTAAAATGATGAATGTTGATGTCAATCAGTTAGTGGATCTTTGCATATATGACTATTGTACGTCTACTAATTTGCAATTTGGCATGTGTTATTCTGCAGCGGCAAATGATGATTGAGGATCTTGGTCCATGGTTTTTCCCTATGCCCTCAAATTCATGTAGTATTCAACCAGGTTCAAACCTTGACTTCACGAACTCAGTATACAGAGTGGTGCTGTCATCTCCAGTGGTAATTTCTTGTGAGCTTGATTGTGATATTGTTGCATTACATATTGATGCTTTTTAACTTTTATGGTTTTCTCTCTCTTTCTATTTGACGTCAATATGTTTAACTTGTGTCTCTGTTCTCACACATTGTTCCATTTGTTACCAGTGAAAAGCTTAGAGAAATTACCTTTTCAGTTCATTTTTCTGGTTTTGTAATATTTAGAGAAAATAAAACATGGCAAGGCTCTTGTGGAAATATTATTAACTAATTACCAAAGTGAGTTATTGACCTTCTCAAATTTAGAGGCATTGCATTTGTTAAATGATAGCAATAAATTAGTTTGGACTAGGGATCTTCTTTTGTTTAAGTGTCTCAGCTCAGTAAGAACTGTGGAATTATATTTGCTTTATATGTGTGCTTGCTGATTTTAGTTACTTGAGCAAGTTTGTTTATCTTGTATTGCTTGCACCTAAATTTATTTAACCTTTCTTTTGGCATCCCTAGATGCCTGATGTAATTGTTGACTATGACATGTCAAGACGGATTTTCTCAATTGTTCAACAAGAGGAGGTACTTGGTGTTTCTAGTAATGCTCAATCATGCTCTTCAGGATATGAACTAGATACTCAACAACATCTTGACCATAAAAAGGATGAAAACAACGAAAATATTGAATTACAAAGATGGAAGGACTTTTCTGATACCTATTGTTGTGACAGAAAGGAAGTTATTTCCCATGATGGTGTAAGGGTTCCTCTGACCATTTTGTACTCTCAAAAGGCGTGGAAGAGGGATCAGTCTCCTGGAATTTTACAAGGTTATGGAGCATATGGGGAAGTTCTTGATAAAAGTTGGTGCGTGGACCGTCTCAGTTTACTTGATCGTGGATGGGTGGTGGCATTTGCTGATGTAAGGTTGGTTTATGATTTGGTCTTTGTGTCAAATTTGTTATTGGCATCCTTTTCTCTTGAGTAAGAACACATCATTTAGAATTAATTTGTAAAATTAGTTGTCAAATTGCCGTGTTAAATATTGAGTTTGAATTGCTTAGACCTAATTTTCATATTTGATGTCATTAAATTTTGGAAATATTCCAAATAATATCTTGTACATAAAGATGTGGATCTTAAGAAGGATAACAAAATGCGACTCAAACTTTCACTTGTATTTTATTGTATTTAGGGGTTATTTGTGGAGATTTCATACTGTTTTTAAGTGTGATCATTTTATGTAGGAATTCTTGTAACATGTGATGAATTTTGATTTAACTAATTCTTTGATTTCAGTTTTCTTTTCTCTTCTCAATTAGTTGTTTCCCTCATTGGTTTCAAATTCTAAATTATTCTCCTTAAGTACTTGTCCATATCCCTGGATTTTACATTCCTGGTATTGTGTTGCATCAAGATTAGGGGTCATGCTTGAACTCGTGTTCAATAAAAATTTCAAAGAATTAGCTGAACAATATGCTGGTTTGTCATGGTCTTGGATGTGTTTACTTGATATTTCAAATGTTCCATGTGTTTGCTGAACAGGGGTGGTGGTGGTGATTCTTCATGGCATAAATCTGGCAGTGGGTTGTTCAAACAAAATTCTATATATGACTTTGTATCATGTGGCAAGTACCTAATTGATGAGGGCTATGTCCGTAGAGATCAGCTGGGTGCCATTGGAGTTAGTGCTGGGTGTCTTCTCATAGGGGCTGCTCTGAATATGTACCCTGACCTTTTCCGTGCTGCAATTTTGAAGGTTAGCCTTATTAGCAAATTACCTGACATTTATATTGTCATGACCTCACCCAAGTGAAGTATGTTAAAACATTTAGAGTTGACAAGGAGACTTGAAGTAAACAGAGGTTTCAAACTTAAGTACTAATAAACCTTTGGATGACAAATGGAAAATTCAAAAATTTTTCACTTTCTTGCTAATAAAATTGGAAAAACCATGAAGAAGCTGTTATATCTGACATTAGAAAAACATGTTTAGAAAAGAGAAACACTTCTTGGGTGGGTTATATTGGTTTAACATCATTCACTTTTTTCTTCCTTTGTTTTTTCTTATACTATGTCGAAGAGAACAAGTATGGATATGGTATTCTTTTGCTTTATCTTTTATTTTCCCCCACTTTATAGTACTTTCTTTTTTGTTTGTTCCTTTGTTTTCCTTTTGTTTTCATTTTACCCTCCTTAGTTAGACTGTCATAATAGAGACGTTGTTAATATTTCTGACAGGTACCATTTCTTGATATATTGAACTCATTGCTGGATCCTAGTTTGCCTCTCACTATATTGGACCATGAAGAATTTGGGAATCCTCAGATAAAGTCCCAATTAGAGTCTATTTTAAGTTATTCCCCCTATGAAAACATTCCTCAAGGTGGTTGCCACCCTTCAATTCTTGTTACAGCATCATTTAATGACTCAAGGTAAATTCGCTTCTTCCACTTCAACTTTTCATCTATAATTGCATGAAGGCCTGCTTCCATACTTCTGCTGTTGATTTAATTTTTTGCATTGTCATTCAGAAAAGTTGCATACAATTTTGTGTCCGTTAACTAATGCTGGTTGCATTTAATCATCATTCCAAGGGTTGGAGTTTGGGAAGCTGCCAAGTGGGTGGCCAAAGTTCGAGATAGTACATGTTCTTTTTGTTCTCGATCTGTCATTCTGAAGACAAATATGACTGGGGGACATTTTGGTGAAGGTGGCCGCTATATTCAGTGTGAGGAAATAGCTTATGACTATGCTTTTCTGGTGAAAGTTATGGGGATTAACATTAATTAGCGAATAAACTTGGCTGTCATTAAAGGTTATTTCTAATTAACAGGGAAAAGAAAACATTAAACAGTGGGATTCCTTTCTTATAATCCTTGCTTGAGTGATTGACACTTCTGTTTGTTAAAGGACACTTGATTGGCCGTTCGGGTACAGATATCAAATGGTAAGAATGGCACCTGAGTTGCCTCCATATGCTGTAATGATTCCGCTCAATTATACCCAGTCACCTGCTTTTGTATGCTGTACGCATACTTTATGCATCTAGAAATGAGCTGAGTTGAACTTTGTGCCTGAAGTGGAAGGTGCTCGTTAGCATCCATGGGACTAGGCAATGGGCTAACCCTTCTTGTTTTCTCAAGATGAGTTGGCAACTGACAGCAATGCTTTCTTGCACTTCAAAAACATGTCTGAATCTGATCATGTCTGTGTTATGGCTGACTAATAATGTAATCTTTTGAGACTTAAACAGTACTGCATTTGCTGTTAATTGTTATTGCACTAGGAAATTATCTCTGGCAGCATTCATTCTAGGATGCATAGTGGTTCCATTTCTCTTTATTATTACTTCTGGATTCTGCTTATTGAAATTGGGGCCTTCTGCAATAGTCTGTCACACCAAGCTGCCATGAACATCCATTGAGCAGAATCCAGAAGTATTAGTACACATTAGGAAAAAACCGCGAAAGGAACTGCCGGAAAGTTCAACAGTTCTTAAGGACTTCCCTAAGGGGAGAGGTGACCGGCAGCAAATGGTCCGGCTTCCCAGCTTCTAATTGCAGAGGATTGTTAATGAGACCGATTGGCTTTAAGGTAGCAACTTCCCAGCTGGGTGTTCCTTTTCAGCAATGAAAACCTCCCTTAAAACACAGTATGGAAGGTGGAACAGACCTCTGTAAACTGGGTAGAAACCTCAAACTTTTAAACTTGAAGGTTGATGGAAGCTTAGGAGAAGCACCCATTCCTCCGTTTGGTTGTCATTTACCCAGTAAGAAAGCTCAATTGCTTGGTTCCAAGTATTGGTTCATGCATGGGGTGGAGTTTAAACTTCACAATCTTGTAAATTTTAACTCTGCAACTCTTAAACGTATACTCCATTAACAACGCATTTTGAACAACAAAATATCTGTATCTAAAAGAAAATAGGGAGCAACATGCTTGTCCTCCAAGATACTAAATATAGTATATTTAAATGCGGAAAATGCAAGTTGATTATTATCATTTATATGATTTTTTCATTATTGATTATTATTATTATTAAATATTCTTTTTCAATGTTAAATGCCAGATAATTACAACGGCTCCAAGTAATGAATTTTATCACATGTCAATCAATTTAACTTCATTACCTAATTAATTGTCCTCCAAAATTATCGTTGTCATATACACATCAGGTGTCTTCAATTTTCGTAATTTCTTTTTTAATCCCAATTTACTCTGATTTCAGCGTTATAAATACAGATAGTAAATACATAATTTAAGTGTTATATATTTAATACTACTAGTAAATTCAGAAAATGATATACAATAAATAGTTTTAAATAGAAACAAAAAACGAAAAAGAGCACAAACATAAGTTTAATGGATCATACAGGAACACTATTAAATGGAATTAATTCGATTAATGGGCCCAATCAATTTATGTTAAGGAATCGAGAAAGCAAAAAATAAAATTAAAATAAAATCCTCGTGCCATGGACTGGTTTGATGTATGACTTGGAATTTTGCTAGCTAAGAAACAATCACTTTAAAAGGCCAAATTCCTCTCATTACTCTTTGCATGAAGAAACCAGTTCTCTGGCGGTACAATTCCTCCGGAATCTGGTAAGCAAAGGAAAGAATTAATGTCTTTGTATTGAAGCTTGAAGCCAATATTGATAAGTTTCTCCATTGAAATTCGGTTACCCTTTTCATGAGGTGATCATTTGCTTCTTCTTTAACAAGCAATTTCCACTTGCATTCGTTTTGGGTGATTAGAGTTTTATAACAAGATAGTACCCTTTTTTGTTTTGGGTTATTATAGAGAATTAAAAAAGCTAAGGATGAGTTACCCTGGGGCAAGTTTTGAAGAGGCAGAATGTGGAGAGGTGAAGGAGAAACCAGGGTACGGTAAGATGAGGTTGAAGTATATCACAACGGTTAAGGCTGAAAAGTTGAAGAGCTTAATTCTATCTCGGATCAGAGTGGCTCGACTGAAACTGTGGGTGACTAGAGCTTTAACCATGATGCTGCTTTGGGCCATTGCCATGCAGTTGAAATCACTGGGAGAGGCTGTTTCATCAGCTAGGACACCAAAATCTACCTTTCCTTTTCCTCTTCCCCCTGAAAGTAAGTAATTTATTGTAAGTCGAATAAATTTGTATTTGTTTTGGATAAGGGAGATTTCGAATCTAACTCTCTTAGTAGAAGATATAATTTGTATACGTTTACTATAACTACGTTAAGAACAGACTTTCTTTATTCCATTTGTTTCCATGCATTTAAAGGAAAGCTCATACATTGGCTATGGCCTTAGCTTCTAGGTTTACCAAAGAGAAAGAATATTCCAAGTTCAAAACTCCCTTTAAGGATGCATGATATGTATGAATCATGCATGTATGCATTTTATCCTCAACTTCAATTTCAAGTAGAGTTTACTCTAGGCTAGGTGTCTTTACACGGTTTGCCATCTTCATAAGCATCGAGGTGCCGATAGATAAATCAAGGTGATTAAGCTAGAGAAAAGAAATGAAAAGAGAACCGCAATATTTACCAGACAGAAAATTTTCTTGTGCTTCACAATCTTCCACATATTCCTGACAATCAGGGGTCTATGAGAACAATGGGTATCTGATGGTTTCTTCCAATGGAGGATTGAATCAAATGCGATCCGGTGTAAGTACTTTTGCCTGTCATAATACAAAGGCCGTTCACTGTAATGTACAAGTGCTGCGATGATCGATTATATCCTAATCAATCAACGTTGTTTTTTTTTTTTTGTACTCAGATCTGTGACATGGTTACAGTTGCAAGATTTCTAAATGTCACCCTCATTGTTCCTGAATTAGATAATACATCATTTTGGAATGATTACAGGTAGCTAATCGATATCATTTCTTACTTTTTTTCATTGAGGTAAACTGTAAATATGGTGTTTGATTCCATTTTTGTTTTTTTGATATGGCAGTCAGTTTGCAGACATATTTGATGTAGAATACTTCATTGCATCACTGAGAGATGAAGTTCGGATATTGAAAGAGCTACCCCCTGCGCAAAAGAAAAAGGTGGCTGAATCAGTCTTTTCAATGCCACCAATCAGCTGGTCTAACATGACCTATTACTATACTGTGGTAGGTTCCCCAGTTCTTTACTTCTTTGTTGTTTCAACCTTGTTTTTCCTACTGTTAGCTTGGATCAGTACTCTTTTACTGTTATGACCATACACAGATTCTTCCGCGGATACAAACGCATGAAGTGGTGCACTTCCAGAAGACTGATGCCAGGCTTGCTAACAATGGGCTTCCTGACGATGTCCAAAAGTTGCGTTGCCGAGTAAACTATGAGGCTCTGAGGTTCGCTCCTCCCATACAGGCGTTGGCTGAGAAGATTGTCCGAATTCTAAGAGAAAAAGGTCCTTTCCTAGTTCTTCATCTCAGATATGAAATGGACATGATAGCATTCTCTGGTTGTAATGAAGGTTGCAATGAAGAAGAGATCGATGAGTTAACAAAAATGAGGTAATTAAAATGAATTTATTGGTTCATTACTGAAGTATCCATTACCTAATCTTATGGTAATATTGTTGCAACCTTCCATGTAATGATCAGATATGCATATCCCTGGTGGAAAGAAAAAGTAATAGATTCGGAGAAGAAAAGGCTAGCAGGTTTGTGCCCTCTAACTCCTGAGGAAACAGCGCTAACATTAAAGGCATTGGGTATCGATCGCAATATTCAAGTTTACATAGCTGCTGGAGATATATATGGAGGAGAGAGGAGATTGGCAACTCTTAGAGCAGCTTATCCGAATTTGGTTAGTAATTAGTTTGCTTTCCTTGAAGATTAATGTCTGTTCATAGGGTAACTCTTGCTTTGTAATTTGCAAAAACAGGTCAAGAAGGAAACCTTACTTCCACCCTCAGACCTTGATCCTTTCAGGAACCATTCAAACCAGATGGCAGCCCTGGATTATTATGTAGCTGTGGAAAGTGATATTTTCGTTCCAACAAATGGAGGAAACATGGCCAAAGTCGTTGAAGGCCATAGACGGTATTTACCAATATTCATCCTCACAATTTACATTTCCTGATGCTATGTGCCTGCAGAATAGGTCCTCTCCTACTCCTAGTATTAATGTTGATGTTGACTATATATACCTGAATCCTTTTTCAGATACTTGGGGTTCAAGGAAACAATTCTTTTGGACAGAAAGGCTATAGTCGATTTAGTGGATCTGTTCAGAGCTGGATCAATAAGCTGGGAAGAATTCTCATCAGAAATGAAAGAGGCTCATGCAGATAGGATGGGAAATCCTGTCACAAGATTGGTAATTCCTGGTAAACCCAAGGAAGAGGATTACTTCTATACAAATCCCGAAGAATGTTTGGCAAGAGTTGATGAGCCACAAGTAGGTTCTGATGATCAGCAACATGATGTTGAACCATGATATCAGTGGCTACCAGGGTAAATTAAATGATTTTCAAGCTGCTGCGTCTTACAACAATATTTTCTCTTCTCAGATTTCGGTAAAAAAGATAAGAAACACAATCATTTTGAGGAGAAAATATGAAGGACTAATTGAATGTCATTTCAGTTTTCCATATATAATTTGTGTACACTGATCAACTTGCAAATGCAAGGGAAAATCTGTTGATTACATGTATATTATGCATCAATATGTGCAAGTATACTCAATTTACATATCAGATAAATGACGATGGTGGCCTTTTACTTTCTTTCCCCTCCCTAAACAATAAGATTTTTTTTTTAGTTTTATTTGGTTCATGAAAAATATGAAGATAAAGAATAATATAAGGTAAAAGGAAAATTAAAGAAAATTCCTTAATTTGTTAAGATATACAAAAAAAACATCAAAGGAAATTAAACTTTATGTATGTTTGTTGGTAAAAAAAAAGAATTAGTACCATATTTGAAACCATTAATTCCCAAGCATTTCCCTTGTTTGTCATTATTTTTTTGTTAGGTTTACTTTTGGTCTATATCTTTACAAAGAGAGAACTATATCTTGAAAAGCAAATAGTAATTAAAAAATAAAATTATATTTAAGTTCAGATTGGATAGTCGTGCATAAAAGCAAATTTATTATTTCTATTATTTAAAAAGATGAGTTTTATAAATATTATTTATTTCTTTATTTCAAGCTTTTATAAACCCATTCTTTCATTTCACCATCGGGAAGCATAATGCATGTACTTACCAAATAGCAATTAAAATGAAGACAGTAAAGCCTTAATTGAAACATTGACATTAAAAATCATCAATCATACTCACAATTAAAAGTTTTTTCTTTGTTTTTTTTTTAAGAGACAATCGAGTATTAAATTTGCATTTTTATGTCTCAAACAATTAAAGGCCTATTGGTATAATTAAAGAGATCTACATTTACTCAACAGCTATATGCATATATGTCGCCATCACTGGTTAAATACAAGGATTTGATCTACACTAATTGCATGATGTTAGCCTGATTGATTGATCAAGTCCATTTATCTATCATATTCTTATCCAGTTATTCTTTTTCAATTCATGATTCATTTTTAGTTTGATGAAATATGTCAAATGAAAACAATAAACCGATATTAAATAACATAAAACCCATTGATTTTGAAGTCTACCGCAAGTATTTATTTATTTATTTTGTACATAGGACCGGTAGTAATTAGTTCTATTGTTGATCTTGCCTCCTATGATATGATCGGAATTTTAATTCCAGTTTATATCAAATAGTCACACCATCACAATTATTAATTCCCTTTTTTGGCAATATTATTAATTCACAAATAGAATTAGTGTTCAAGCAGAATTAATTCACTAGTTTTCAGGTGAGTCCTCCATTTTAATATGCTTTCTCATGGAAAGCGACTCCAAAACAACGTGGTTGGAATTCTGAAAAGCTGGGATATGACTCCCAAACCTCAAACCTCAAACCTCAAACAAAGTTCCTCTTGTTTTAAAGAGACTTCTTTCCTCTGAAACAGTGGTTGGAGGCTCCTGAAAACCGGCTTCCCGGGGTGTTCTTTTCTCCGGATTCTGGTAGGGGAAACTACCCTCAGCCGCATGGTCCAAACCACTTGAAGCAGTTGGCAATCAAGGAAAATTTAAGCCGAATTCGTTTCTTATATAGAAAATTGTTGTGTTATATAGTATACTATTTCCCTGTAAGGAAAATCAAGCAAAGTTGCACGTTAAGGTTGAGGATTTGCCAATGGGGATGGAAGACTTGAAGCACGATGTTGAAGAAGGGAAAGCATTTGTCCGCATAGAGATGAAGGATAAACGATGTGGTAAGGTGGAGTACTTTAAGTCTTCCATTGGTGATATCAGCCCTGAAAAGTTGAAGAATTTGGTTACTGGACTGGTCAGACTGGATAAACTGAAGAGTATGATGATTCCCAAGTCTCCTGGATTTGAACAAGTAAAGTTATTGACGCTTGGAATCACAGCCATGATGCTTTTTCTGTGGGTTTTCGCATTGCAATTGGCACTATTGGGACAGACTATTGGCCCAAAGGCATTCAAGCTTGAACCGCCACCTTATTTCCCATCCCCGAGTAAGTTCCATGCTTATTTTACATGTCGGACGACTATAAATTCTTTCTGTGTGAAAAGTTGAGCATACCTATTATGAATTAGTGAATCAGACACGTCTGCATCAATATGTTTCCAGGGGTTTACAAGAATGAAGGTTACTTGATGGCTTCATCCAATGGCGGATTGAATCAAATGAGAGCCGGTGTAAGCATGCACATATATATATATATATATATATATATATATATATATATATATATCTGCTTTCCAAAAGTCTTTTCCCATTGCTTCTTGTTGCGCATGTACCCTGATTAATTCCTTATTTGGTACTTGTAAACAGATTTGTGATATGGTTGCTATAGCTAGATTTCTGAATCTCACGCTTGTAGTTCCTGACTTGGATAAAACTTCATTTTGGCACGATAGCAGGTGGTTATTTTATTATCAGTAGTTTACCTTTTTTTTCAAGTATTTGCAACTAGAATTAAGAAGTTCATAGCAATCATTAATCTCAATGTGGCAGCCAGTTCAAAGACATATGGGATGTGGATTACTTCATCAAATCTCTGAGTGATGAGGTTCGGATAATTAAGCAGCTGCCTCCTAGGCTGAGGAAAAAAGTTCAGAGATATGCACTCTATTCCATGCCACCCGTTAGCTGGTCTAACATGTCCTATTACTACAACACGGTCAGTTTACTCATATCCGATCTTGGTATAGTGGTTGCAGCTGATATTTACGGGTGACTATTTGCAGGTTCTTCCTCGTTTCCAAAAATATGAAGTGGTTCGTTTCACAAAAACTGATACTAGACTAGGGAATAATCTTCCTGTTGAGGTTCAGAAAATGCGTTGTACGGTAAACTATAAGGCTCTAAGATTCACTCCTGCAATTGAAGAGGTGGGGAAGAAGATTATTAGGATTCTGAGGGACAAAGGTCCTTTCTTAGTTCTCCATCTCAGATATGAAATGGACATGTTATCTTTTTCTGGTTGTACTGAAGGTTGCAATGAGACGGAGGTGGAAGAGCTTACAAGAATGAGGTGAGCAATTAATCTTCATTTTATTGTACTTGGTTTCATTGATCATATCCTAAAATGCGTATTGTATATGCCTAGATATGCTATCCCTTGGTGGAAGGAAAAGGAAATCGATCCGAAGAGTAAAAGAGAAGCCGGCCTCTGCCCATTGACCCCAGAGGAGACAGCAATTGCGCTTAGAGCATTTGGTATAAATCCTAACATCCAAATATATATTGCTGCAGGAGATATATATGGCGGAGAGAGGAGACTGGCAAGTCTTAGAGCATTCTATCCGAATCTAGTAAAAAACTTTGAACCCCAAAAGTCAGCTTAATTTGCAATGAAATTTACACATGTATGTAAATTCTAAAAATCCTACTGTTCTTGCCTTTTGTTCCGAAACAGGTGAAGAAGGAAACATTACTACCCCCTTCAGACCTCAAGCCATTCCAGAACTATTCAAATCAGATGGCGGCTTTGGATTATCTTGTTTCCATAGATAGTGACATATTCCTGCCGACCTATGGAGGCAATATGGCAAAACTTGTGGAAGGCCATCGAAGGTATTTGTCTGGTAACTCTTTTCTTACAGTTGTATGAATTTCTGATTTATTTTTCTGACAGATTCCTGGGGTACAAGAGGACAATTAGTCTAGACAGATTGGTCCTGATCAGTTTGATAGACCAATACAAGAATGGAACGTTGAGCTGGAGCGAATTCTCCCAGTCAGTGAAGGCAGCTCATGCAAATCGAATGGGGAACCCATCTCAAAGATTGCAGTTTCCGGGCAAACCCAAACAGGAGGATTACTTCTATACAAACCCACAGGAATGTCTGCCGCCGCTTGCTGTAACAACGAACGACAGAAACAATGTTGAAGACAGGGGACAATTATCATAGCCCCAGCAATTCCCTAGTGACTGCTATTTCTGTGTTGAAAACGGGGCGGCTGACTGTAAAACTTCCTGGATTGAAAAGAGATATTAATTTGTTCTTTGGTCGATGCAATTGATTCCATGCACGAAGTTATTGGAAGGAAAATGTGCTCAAGGAAGAACGATCCTTGACCTTGCAATTCCCCATTTGCTGCATAGCAACTCTGAAACAGCGCCTGTAATACACTGCTTTTGGTAGCCAAAAATGCAAAGCATGGGAAGGTCTCAATTTGTTTAATCACTTTCCATACCATAAATATTTTCACCTAAGCAATCAAGGGAAAAAACCGAAAAGTTCTTATCATTTCGCTATTACATTTATATTCAGGACGTGAAATAAATCTTCTTCTATATCAAGATTAAACTGAATTATGATACAATTTCTATTCTGGGTATCTCTAAATCCAAATTCTATTTACAAACTTAAAAGACTTATCAAGTTATAGTAAAATAAAAATAGTGTTATAATTGAATTCAATTATCCAAAAACAAAGGGTTATAGTTTACTATAATGAAGTAACATGTAATTTTACTGCAATAAAAAGTTAAGTAGTAAATGAACTTGTAAAACTCATCGTTACCGATTTATATTTGATGCATTGATCATGTATAGCTCTCATATGCTGTCAAGGCATTAAATGGTGCCACCTCACTACAATAAATTTAAAACTTTAAGAGACTTAAAGATAAATATTATTATCAATTGGAAAAAATAAATATTATTTTTTTTAAAAAAATAAAACTATATATTTTTCCCTCTCCAACTCCATTTCACCGAATCTCTTCTTCTTGTCTTGTTCTTCTTCTCCTTTTATAATTTCAAAACTCTAAATTTTTAATTTTAATTCTTAAAAATAATATTTATTTCAATGTTCTTCTTAATTTACTATATTTTATATATTGTGATTGTTTATTTATCACTTTTATTTGATTAATAAAAGAGGCTTTTCGAACACCTTTGAAACTCACATTGTGAATACATCATTACGAAGTTTTAATGTGATAATCTTGTAGACGAATTGCAAAGAAGAAAAATGTATTTTTGTTTAGGGCTGGTTTTTGGGTTCATCTTTTCATAGATCTAAAAAGAGGCTGTGCTTGGTAGATTTTAGTTTTGTCTTGCTTAATCTCCAGCAAACCTGGCGTATGTGGACTTGCTAGGTAATGAGGAAAGTCTGACTTCTATAGAGTTTTTGTGTGCTACACACTGCTATTGTAGATTGTGACCTATTGCATTTATATTCTCGAAAGGCAATTATATTTCTTTAGGGCTGATGTTTTGCTTTCCACTTTTTTCAATTGCTTTATTCATTTCATTCAACCTAGTCCAAGCCAAAGCAGTCATTGTTGAACACAATCAAAGATTTTACCTTATTATTTATTATCATTTTTTGAACGTAATTTCAAATAGAAGAGTAAAATAAATATTAAAAATTAAATTAAGAAAAAGAGTACAAAAAATATTATTTTGAAGAATCAAAATTAAGAATTTAAGATTTTATTTTTCAAAAGAAAATTAGGTTTTTGAATTTACTGTCATTGAGGGAAGAAAGAGGAAGAGATTGTTTTTTTTTTTTTTTGTAATTAGGGAAACGGTAATTCAAATTCTACTCTTTAGACAAAAGATCATGCACCAACTAATGAACTAATTACTCATATGTTTTCTTTATTTAAGTTTTAGGAAGAGATTGAATAAAAATTGTTTATTTTTTTATTTTTTAAAAAATTAATAATATTTATTTTTAATTTCCTTAAAATTTTGAATTTATTTTTTAAATAAGTGGCATGATTTTATATCTTGATAGTGTATAAAGATTATACACTATCAGTGCATCAAATATAAACTCAAATAAAATTCAACCCAAATACAAGACTCAAGAAAGTTTTGAATTCAAATCAAAATCAAGCATTCTAATTTGTAAAACATTTTCATTTTCAATTTTTAAATTTGTGTGATATAATCCAAGGATAATATTTTTAAATGCTAAGTGAAATTACCCTTTCACAATTTTCTAGCTAGATTTGATAAGTTTAAATACACTCATTAGCATGACACAATCACATTACAAAATTAAATAAGATTGAAACTTATCGTGTTTCGTGTCTTAAATGGCTTAAGCTTGCTTAACTTGTATATATATAACATGTTTATCTCGATTAATTAATTGTGCATTATTGTGTCAATTCCTATTATATGACTTATTTAATCTGTTTAAGATACTCATTTAAACATGTTAATCATGTTTAAATGTGTTTGTTGAGTTATAATTGTATCGTTCCATATAAAATTTAATATGTCTTGTTTAATAAGCATATTGATAGTGTCGTGTTGTGTAATTTTGTGTAATGAACTTATTAACGTATGCGTTTAAAATCTTAATCTATTTAATTAATTTTGTAATACTTGTATTTATCCATAAGACTATTATTGTTTACCTAATGATACAGTTATGACTTGTTAACATTTTAGCATAATTTGTAAAATATATCATTTGTTATGCAATCAATCTTAAAAGAATAAATATAAAAGAAATATAAGAGAAAGTATTTAGAGGGAAAGAAAGTATTTTGAGAGAGTAAGAAAATTTTATTCAAGTGTGCATTTACGAATGAAGTGAAGGATGCCTATTTATAGGTTAATAATTCCTTATCTAAATTGAATTTACAAGATGAAGATAATACAAAAGGATTAGATGGATGGATTAAATCTTAAGGTTGATCCAATCTAATTTACATCCAAAACTAAATATAGATAATATAAATGTTTATTCACGAAAATATTTATAACACTCCCTGTTGAATATCCATTGTATTAAGAATATACTTCGTTAAAACCTTACAAGAAAAAAACCTTATGAGAAAAAATCCGAGTGAAGGAAAAAGAGAACTTAAATATTTCAAAAATACGCTTTTGAAATATTACCTCAGTAAAAACCTTATCAAGAAAAACCAAGTGGGAAAAACTTTGATGAAGGAAAAAAGTAGAGTGAGTATTTTACTCTCCCTGATGACTGTATTATAGAGATTTTAAAATGATGCATTTTAATTTTTTATATCAACTTTTTAAATATTGCAGTAAGAAGGGCTTTGGTAAACAAATCTGCTAGATTGTCAATTGATTAAATTTGTTGAACACTAATTTCACTATTTTCTTGGAGATCATGAATGAAAAAGAATTTTTTGGCTAACTATGTGTTGTCCTATTGTCTTTAATGTATCCTTCTTTCAACTATATCATGCAACTGGTATTATCCTCATATAACATTGTTGCAATTTCTTTCTTGGTTGATAAGTCACACATTTCTTGAATATGTTTAATTACAAATCTTAACCAGACACATTCACGACTTACCTCATAAGTTGCTAAAATTTTCGCGTGATTAGAAGAGGTAGCAACTATATATTGTTTTACAAAGCACTATGAAATATTCATACCTCTACATGTGAATAAGTAACATGTTTATGTTCGAGCCTTGTGTGGATCGGATAAATATTTTACATCTGCATAACCAATTGATTTTATTTTGATGCATTTGAATAATATAAGCCTATATCCATTGTTTTTTGGAGATATCAAAGTATATGTTTAATTCTATTCCAACATTTTAAAGTTAGAGAAAAATAATATTTTAGTAATAAATTCACAGCAACTGATATATCAAGGCATGCATTGCTACTAAGATACATTAGTGTTTTAATTTTAATAAGATATAGTACTTCAAGATCAAAAAGTTCTTTATTATCCTCACAAGGTCAGAAAATGTCTTTTTTCACATCTAATGACGTTACAACCATTACTAAACTCATTGGATATGTATTTTCCATATAAAATCGTTTTAGCACTTTTGCTATACAATTAGATTGATGGACAAAAATTTCATTTGTCAAGTGTTCAATCTGAAAACCCAAACGAAATTTTATTTTTCCATGGTCTTTCATCTCAAATTCTTTCTTTAAGTAATCCACGGCTTTTGATAACTCTTCAAGAGTTTTAATAATATTCAAATCATCAATATAAATAGCAATTATAATAAATTCAAATCTATATCCTTTTATAAAATACATAGGCATATAGAATTATTTCTATAGCCTTCTTTCAACAAATATTCACTAAGCAAAGTGGTTCCTAACCATAAATTTATCTTATAAAGGAGAATTTTTAATAACTCGTTTGGCTTAATACATACAAACGCTGCTGCATGCAAAGTGGCATGCCCCTAAGCAAAATTGAAAGTTTAGATTTAATAAATAATTACCTTACAATCAGTTGAAAGTGTTTAATAAATGGTTTTGCTAGATTGTTTTGTGAATTAATATAAGCAATAAGCTGTTCAATAGTTATTCCACTAATATTATAAAGATGAATAGTCTTAATTACATAATTAGGAAAATGTGTTTGCAAACGAATGATTGTAAATGCCAAATTGCAAGCTGATAATAAGCATACATGTGATCATCTAGTACATGTGATCATCTAGTCGATGTATCTATTAAAATTATAAAATATCTAAATGGTTCACATTGTAAATATATGAATCCACATATATCAACCTAAATATGTTTCAAAAATGTAAGAAATTTAGTCCCAACTTTAAATAGTGATATCCATATAATTTATTTGCCTTGAGAGCAAACAGCACATGAATATTTCATCAGATTGAAAAATCTTCTAGTTTTTCAATGAATGACTATATTAATTTTTAATAATTTTTTTTACATTATTATTGATCTAGGTTAATCTAATTGGTCAAGCCAAATCATTAGTAAACTTCTGGTTTACTATGGATTTCAATTATTCTAATATTTGTGAAATTTAATTCAGAGAGCAAAGTGAGTAATAATTTTTTTTTCAACATACATTTCCTACTTGAGATAATAGATGTAATATAACGATATTAAGTGTCTCTTTCATTCATTGTCTCAATATGATATCTATAAGATAAATATCTTTAAAACTTAATAAGCTTCTTGAAACTTTATTGCTCAAGGTAGTAAAATATTAGCTCTCCCGAAACTTTCAATTACTCTTGTGCTACTATATATTGTATTGACATTGGTT